ATCAATGTATTTATGATTTATTACTATTTATTAGGAGCAATTTGTTTGCTACTATTAGTATTTCTTAGGGAATTAATGGGGGGTGGAGGGGTCTGTGGCGGGTGGCGGAGACGTCATCTGTCTCTCTCTCCCCCCCCCCCCCCCCCCCCCCCCCCCCACACACACACACAATTCCTGGATCCACTGTGATGATGGGATAATGAGATGCAAAGGCTCAGGGTAGAGGATGCTCCGGTCACCTAGCAACTAATGGTTTCCCCAGCAACAGCAAACCAGAGCCTCCCAAGCAGCAGAGTGAGCAGCATCCGCATCAGCATCCGCATCCCAAGATGCCCGGCTGCGCTCCTTCAGAGACAACAGCAAAGGGGCAAAGAGGAGGAGGAGGAGGAAGAAGAGGGGGGTCTTCCATGGGTCCCCCTTCTCCTTTGCAGCCAGGCCATTCGGGCCTCAGCCCCCCACTCCCAAGCAGGGACCTGTCATCGTCGTCGTCATCATCATCATCATGCATTTCGTTACCTGCCTCACCTAAACAGCTTGGGGCAGAGGTACAATTAAGTCAAAATACACGCAATAACATACAATATGTCAAAACACACCGTTGTAAAAACATGCACACCAAAACACAGGGTACAAAGATCAATATGCAGTGGCAACAGAATGCAAATCCCGAACTCATAACTCTAAGTTATGCTGAAATATTATATGTATATTTGTGTATATGCACACATATACACAAATATACATATATTACACACAAATACATATACACAAATATACATATAATATTTATTTATGTATTTATTTAAAACATTTATATTCTGCCTTTCTCACCCCGAAGGGGACTCACACACACTATGCACACTAATACACACACTATACACATTAGTACTATACACACATATATACATAGATACATACACACATATATATGCACATGCATACATATATGCACACACATATACACAGATACATATACATACACACATATATACATACACATATATGCACACACATGCATACATATACACACATATGCACACATACATGTATACACATATATACATATGCATATTCATATATACTTATACATATTTGTGCATATATATATACATACATACACATACATATACCTATATATTTATACACATACACACATACATGGATACATACACACGCATATATACATGTGCACACACATGCATACATATACACACATGCATGTATATACATCCATATATATTCATATATACTTATACATATATACGCACATACATATATACACACATATACACAAATATACAGACATATACATGTACACACACATACCTATATATATACACATATTTACACACATATTTACACACATACATACTTAGATACATACATGCACATATACACAAATATAGATACATAGATACACATATACACACACCTATGCACACATATACATATATACACACAGATACATGTGCACGCACACCCACACATATATGCACATAGAACCTATTACATATACATATATGCACACACATGCATACATATATGCATATATACATATACACACATACATATACACAAACATACACAGATACTTATATATGCATACATATACACACATACATATACAGAAATATATACATATACACACATATAAATACAGATATTTACATACACATGCATACGTACACACATATGCACACATATATGTATGTACACACACATATATATTCATATATACTTATACATATACACACATATATACGCATGTATACATATATACACACACAAATATATACATATACACATACCCACGTATACACAACATATAGATATAATACATAGATACACACATATTTATAAACATACAGACATAGATACTTACATGCACATATATACACACACATATACATATACACAAATATACAGACATTAATACACACACATATATGCACACACATATATGTGATATACATGCACATACACACATGCGCACACCCACACACATATATATTCACATAGAACCTCTTCTAACCCCAAGTAAAGCGTGTCCTATTTTTAGAAGGATTGTTTTTCTCATATGCAAATTAATGCAGATTTGCCCAGCCACCCTCTGCCCAATTGGGGGAAAGGGGAGGGGAGGCAGAGGGGCCAACCTGCTCTGCCTGCCCAGCTAGGAACCACAGGCAGGTGGAAGCATGTGCATTTGCCCACATTACACACACGTGTGCAAGACCCACACGTACTCACCAGGGCCGCAGCAACAGTACGGGTGGCCACCCCTCATGGCAAGCCAGAGGCCTTTGCACCCCACTTCCTGGCCTCTTCCTTACATTATGACGGACTCCCTTTTGTGTGTAGTATATGCAATAGTTTATGTTTTCTAAACTTTTGGAGATCTGAAGCCACTGAAGCAAGATTCTGGTTATTTACTTACTTATGCGATCGCTTGTAGTCCAAGGATGATGGTCCTCCAAGTGTAGTATCCTAGGGGTGACTATGGTGCCCTATTCTTGACCTGCATCTTCTCCCTTCCGCAGTGAGGGCATCGGTTTCCAGGTAGAAGGCGGTCCCGGTCAGGGTTGGCTTGACGCGCCTTCCTCTTGGCACGTTTCTCTCTTTTGCCCTCCATTCGTGCCTCTTCAAATTCTACAGCACTGCTGGTCACAGCTGACCTCCAGCTGGTGTGCTCAAGGGCCAGGGCTTCCCAGTTCTCGGTGTCTATGGCACAGTTTTTAAGGTTACCTTTCCATCTCTTTTCCTGCCCACCGACATTCCGTTTTCCATTCTTGAGTTTGGAGTAGAGCATCTGCTTTGGGAAATGGTGGCCAGCCATGCGGACAGTATGGCCTTCAGTCCAGAGGAGTTGATGGTGGAGGACCATCGCCTCAATGCTGGTGGTCTTTGCTTCTTCCAGCACACTGACGTTTGTCCGCTTGTCTTCCCAAGAGATTTGCAGGATTTTTCGGAGGCAGCACTTATGGAATCGTTCTAGGAGTTGCATGTGATGCCTGTAGACAGTCCAAGTTTTGCAGGCGTATAGCAGGGTTGGGAGGACAATAGGTTTCCTGTTCTTGAGCTTGGAGTAGAGCAACTGGTTTGGGAGACGGTGATCGGGCATTTGGACAACGTGGCTAGTCCAGCGGAGTTGATGGTGGAGGACCATCGCTTCAATGCTGGTGGTCTTTGCTTCTTCTTCCAGCATACTGACACTTCCCCACTGTCTTCCCAAGAGATTTGCAGGATTTTCCAGAGGCAGCGCTGATGGAATCATTCCAGGAGTTGAATGTGACGTCTGTAGACAGTCCACATTTTGCAGGGTTGGGAGGACAATGGTTTTATAAACAAGCCCCTTGGTATCCCTACGGCTGTCCAGGTCCTCAAACACTCTCTGCTTCATTTGGAAAAATGCTGCACTCACAAAGCTCAGGCGGTATTGTATTTCAATGTCAATGTTGACTTTTGTGGAGACGTGGCTTCCACAGCAGGGTTGGGAGGGCAATGGCTTTATAAACAAGCCCCTTGGTATCTCTACGGATGTCCCAGTTCTCAAACACTCTCTGCTTCATTCGGGAAAATGCTGCATTCGCAGAGCTCAGGCGGTGTTGTATTTCAGTGTCAATGTTGACTTTTGTAGAGAGGTGGCTGCCACAGCAGGGTTGGGAGGACAATAGCTTTATAGACAAGCAGCTTAGTCTCTCTACGGATGTCCCAGTCCTCAAACACTCTCTGCTTCATTCAGAAAAATGCTGCACTCACAGAGCTCAGGCGGTGTTGTATTTCAATGTCAATGTTGACTTTTGTGGAGATGTGGCTGCCACAGCAGGGTTGGGAGGACAATGGCTTTATAAACAAGCCCCTTGGTCTCCCTTTGGATGTCCTGGTCCTCAAACACTCTCTGCTTCATTTGGAAAAATGCTGCACTCGCAGAGCTCAGGCGGTGTTATATTTCAGTGTCAATGTTGACTTTTGTGGAGAGGTGGCTGCCACAGCAGGGTTGATTCATCGATTGGCTCTGTCTGGTGTACGAGGTTTAGCCCTCAAATGGTTCAATTCATTCCTCCAGGACCGGAGACAGAGGGTGGAGTGGTCAGGCCAAAGCGGGGTATTATGTACTATAATAATATATAGTAATAATAAAATATAATAATAATAATAATAAATACAAAGCTGCATAGATAAAGTGCAATAGATACACAGATAAAGTGGGGTAGAAATATAACAACAACAACAACAACAATTGCAGCCCTGGTCAACCTATCTTCCAACCAACCAAGGTTTTCCATCCTGATTCTATAATTTGGGGCCTTGGATGCCCCCCCTAATTTGGAGCTAAGCCAATGGGAAGGGGAAGTGAGTGCTTCTGAAGAACTACATAATACACCCCCCCCCCCAAAAAAAAGAGCCCCCAAAGCCAAACAAAGAGAATAAGGGCTCAATTGCCGGAGAAAGAAGGAAGCCTCTTCAGTTTGGTTCTCCAATTAAAGTAGCCTTTGCCTATCTTTCTTACTGAGGGGGGTCCAAAGGGGGAAAGGGGGGGGGGGGTTCTAGGTGTTGCTTAGCCTGAGTCAACAGCGCCCCCTTGTGGCCCCCTCCTTCCTTCCTTCTTTTCTTCCATTGAGGAGAAGCATTAAGGAAAACCCGACAATAGGCTCCTTCTCATTTGTGCCCCACCAAGCCCATTTAAGACCCCAACTAAGTAACAGGAGATGATGCAGAAGGCGTGCCTTCTTTGGGAAGGCGCTCTGCACATGCTCAGGGACACATTCACCTCCAGGTGCAACGAAGAAGGAAAGGGGACACACCTGGAGAGACTTCTCCTTCAGGGAAACTTTTTAAAGGGACCTCACTTATTTCTCAAGCAGCTGCAAAGGAGGGGGGGGGGTACCTTCCCCTTTCAATGTCCCTCAAAGGAAGCCAGGGAGGAGCCCCCCTCTACACCCCCCCCCTCCGAGTGTTCTTAAAGGGGCCACCCCCTCTTCCTCCTCTGCCTCTGGGTTGGGATGGAGCTTCACCTGCATTGCCAGGCTTTCTGGGCCAGCCTCCACCTGCAGAGTGGCCTCCTCGACTGGGACATGGCTGCTGAGCTGGGCCTGGGACCCCCGCCCCAAGGTGACTCTGGGGGGGGGGGGGTTAGAAAGGGGGCCCGGCTGGATGGCCTTTGAGGGTCCCTTCCTCTTTGCCTGGCCCCAAAGGTGCCCCTGAGCATGGCAAGAGTGCTACTGGAGCCAGGAGTGGGAGGGAAAGGAAGGGAAGGAGCTGGCTACATCTACACTGGGGGATTAATGCAGTTTGGGACCTGTATATATGACATGGCACCATCCTATAGGAGCCTTGGGAGGCAGAGTCCTGCAGAGCTGGGCTGCATCTACATTGGAGAATTAATGCAGTTTGAGACCACTATTGCAGCCACAGCTCCATGCTATAGGAGTCCTGGGACGCATAGTCCTGCAGAGCTGGATTGCATCTATATTGGGGAACTAATGCAGTTTTGCATTAGCTCCATGCTATAGGAGTCCTGCAGAGCTAGGCTGCATCTACACAGGGGGATTAATGCAGTTTTGTAGTGGAAATTGAATGCTCACTGAAGCAAGGAGGTGACTGACCACAGTATTGGTTTCAATCAGTTTACTTTGGCCAATGGTGACAGCCCATCTAGGCCTTGGCCGAACACAACTTTTATAGTGCGTGTGTCATCTGTAGTTTCGATTTCCCCAAAATGACCTGATTTACAAGAAAGCCCATGTTGGCCAATTCTGTGCGCAGGTGCACTTGCATTCCTCTTGGTGTTGCTCTTTGGTGACAGTTCAGACATGTACACACTGTTAAGAGATTTGCAGGATTTTTCAGAGGCAACGCTAATGGAATCGTTCCAGGAGTTGCATGTGATGTCTGTAGACAGTCCACGTTTTGCAGGCATATAGCAGTGTTGGGAGGACAGTAGCTTTATAAACAAACCCCTTGGTCTCCCTACGGATGTCCCGGTCCTCAAACACTCTCTGCTTCGTTTGAAAAAAAGCTGCACTTGCAGAGCTTAGGCGGTGTTGTTTTTCAGTCTTACTGTTGATATCTGTAGACAGTCCACGTTTCGCAGGCATATAGCAGTGTTTGGAGGACAATGGACAATTTTCTAATGTGACACCATTGAGCTGTATTTCTGGCATTGGAGAGGGATTGGTTGGCAACTGCTGGAAGAGCACTTTGGTTTTCTCGATGTTCAGTGAGAGGCTGAGCTTCTCATATAATTCTGCACCTGGGAGACGCAATCCTGCAGAACTAGGATGCATCTGTACTGGAGTATTAATGCAGTTTAAGACCTTGATTGTTGCCATGGCTCGATGCTATAAGCATCCTGGGAGCTATAGTTTCACAAAGTCTTTAGCCTCCTTTGCCAAATGGGGCTGGTGTTTCTCCAAATTGTAGCATCAACCCTGGGCAGTTCAAGCCATGCTGAACAAGCCATGGGTGAATCCAACAGTGTCTTAGGAGAGAGAAGGTGCAATGGGGTTTAGGCCAAGGCCAGCTGCAGCATCTCCTTTTCAAGGCATAAGAGCCCTGCTCTGAGTGACACGTGGCAACCATTCCAGAGCATCTCTTGGAGCAAACAGGGGCAGGGACATTGGAGGGCATCCTTCCCTATTGACAGCCCCATTTTGCCTCCTTCTCTTTGCCCTCCTGTCCACAGGCCCCACTTCTCTGGTGACCCCCAAGGGATGCAGGCAGCTGGAAAGGCCAAAGGAAGAGGAGGAAGAGGAAGAGAACGCTCACAGTAAGTGCAGAGGCTCACTATTTTGTGGATTCTGGGGGTCTCAAAGCAGAAGCAGCATTTGGGATGAGAAGGGACATCTCTCCACCTCCTGCAATGGGGGACTACAGGCACCTTTAGATGCCCTTTAGTTTCTCCCCAGGCTCTGTTGACACTGCCATATAAAATCCAGATTATCTGCTTTGAGCTGGGTTATACGGCAGTGTAGACTGAGATAATCCAGTTCAAAGCAGACCAATCATGTGGATTATCTACTTCAGTGGTTCTCAACCTTCTTAATGCCGCGGCCCCTTAATACAGTTCCTCATGTTGTGGTGACCCCCAACCATAACCCTAACATTATGAATCGCCATGTAAATAATGATCTGCAGAATGTATTTTCATTCACTGGAGAAAATTTGGCACAAATACCCGGTATGCCCAAATTTGAATACTCGTGGGGTTGGCGGGGGGATTGATTTTGCCATTTGGGAGTTGTAGTTGCTGGGATTTATAGTAAACCTATAAACAAAGAGCATTCTGAACCCCACCAACAATGGAATTGAACCAAACTTGGCACACAGAACTCCCATGACCAACAGAAAATACTGGAAGGGTTGGGTGGGCATTGACCTTGAGTTTGGGAGTTGTAGTTCACCTACATCCAGAAAGCACTATGGACTCAAACTGATATCGAGCCTGGCCTCTCCAAGGTATCCAGGGCCCTTTTGGCGCGGTCCTCGGGTTCTCTTCTCTTGAGGAGACCCTACTAAAAGTAGCTCGATATCATTACAATGATCAATCTGGACCAACCTTGGTACGGATACTCCATATGCCCAAATGTGAACTCTCGTGGGGTTTTGGGAAAATAGACCTTGAGATTTGGGAGTTGTACTTGCTGGGATTTATAGTTCACCTACAATCAAGGAGCGTTCTGAACCCCAACAATGATAGAATTGGGCCAAACTTCCCACACAGAGACCCCCATGACCAACAGAAAATACTGTGTTTTCTGATGGTCTTTGGCAACCCCTCTGACACCCCTTTGCGACCTCTCCAGGGGTCCCGACCCCCAGGTTGAGAAACACTGATCTACTTTAAAAATCTGGATTATATAGCAGTGTAGAAGGGGACCCAAACTGGGGCTGAACGACAACGCCCATCACTTTGGGGGATGATGGGAATGGCAACCCAACAGCATTTTTTGAGAGGTTGGGGAAAAATTTGAGGGCATGTGAAAGCCAAAGTATTGTCCTATCCGCAAGCCTTGTATCGACAAGCAAACCCCACTCTCCCAACTCCAGAGAACAGATGTTACTGTATTGCAACTCCCATCCCTGATAGACATGATGTCTAATGATGAGGGGTGCAGGGATTGTAGTCCAGCATCTGGAGGAAGGGCACATAAGATGAGATGGAGGGCCAGGTTTGCAAATGACATCCTCGTTTGGCCTTTGCCTCTCTTTAGGTTGGTGGCAAAACTGCACACAGAGGGGTTTAGGGCATCCTTTTGCCTTCCTGATTTCCTCTTTGCCTTCTTGCCTGCCAGGGACTGAGGTGAAGCCCCATTTGTGGATGTGGGTCAACCCCAACGAGGTCTGCCCCATTCCGGGGAGGGTCTTCTCTGTGCCGGAGCCCCCTTCCTTACCTGGTGACGCCCCTCTTGCTGACCCCCAGGCGCCGCTGCCACAGCCCTCCAACCCAGAGGGAATCCAAAAGGACCCAAGAGTGCCTCCTGCTAGTGAAGCAGAGAAGGTATTCTTCAGAATTATAATAATACTATGTCATGATTTATGTTCGTGGATTATCAATATCATTTCCTAATTGGTTGTATCATAGAAACATGGGAAAGGTCTTTTAAACTGCAAACATCTGTCTTATCTATCCATCCATCCATCCATCTTGGGGGCTGGAATGGATGGCCTCTAAGGGTACCTTCCAACTCTAGGAGTCTATCACCTATCCACCTATGTCTGTCTGTCTTATTTATCCATCCATGTCTGTCTTATCTGTCTGTTTGTCTGTCTGTCTGTCCATCCACCCATCTTAGGTGACTGGACTAGATGGCCTCTAGGGGTCACTTCCAACTCTAGGAGTCTAGCATCTGTCCATTCATGTCTGTCTGCCATATCTATCTATCTTTTCATCCATCTTTCCATCCATCAGTCCATGTCTGTCTATTTTATCTATCCATCCACTCATCTAACCATCTTAGGTGGCTAGACTGGATGGCCTCTGGGGGAACCTTCCAATTCTAGGATTCTATCATGTAGCCATCCCTATCCATCCATCCATCCATCCATCCATCTATCCATCCATCCATCCATCTCTCCATCCATCTCTCCATCCATCTCTCCATCCATCTCTCCATCCATCTCTCCATCCATCTCTCCATCCATCCCTCCATCCATCCACCCACCCACCCACCCACCCACCCACCCACCCACCCATCTATCTATCTATCTATCTATCTATCTATCTATCTATCTATCTATCTCTCCATCATATCCATCCATCTATCCCCCATCCATCCATCTACCCATCCATCTACCCATCCATCTACCCATCCATCTACCCATCCATCTACCCATCCATCTACCCATCCATCTACCCATCCATCCATCCATCCATCCATCCATCCATCCATCCATCCATCCATCACCCATCCATCCATCCATCCATCCATCCATCCATCTATACATCCATCCATCTATCTATCCATCATGATCAATAAAATACATCAAACCAGAAAAGATTATTTATTTATTTATTTTATTTATTTATTTGGTACACTTGTATACCGCTAATTTCTCAGCCTAGAACGGCGACTCAATTGCGGTTTACAGCATTTTAAAAACAATCTCAGTTTAAAAACATATACAAATACAATAACAAATTATTGGGCCACCAAATAACAAATTATTGGGCCACTATCCATCCATCTTTACACCCATCTATCCACCCATCCACCCACCTATCCATCTATCCATCTTGGGGAGTGGACTGGGTGGCCTCTGGGGGTTACTTCCAACTCTAGGAATTTATCATCTATCCACCCATGTCTGTCTCTTTCCTATCTATCTATCTATCTATCTATCTATCTATCTATAGCTATTTCTCTACCCATCACCCACCTCCCAGTTTAAAGTGACCCCAATGGTGTTTACGAAGTGGGATGGGCAGCCGCTGGCCCTGGCTTGACCACCGAAGGCCTTCTTGGGGTTCACCGTTCTCCGTGTCCATTGCAGGCTCCCTCTGGAGTGGGTCCTGGAGTTCCCCCAAAGGCCCCAGGGCCCCCCGAGGCCCCTGCCCCGAAGCCCAAGAAGCCCAAAGCCTTCCGGTCGCACGGCCGGCGGCTGAAGAGGGCCCAAGGGGAGTGGCCCCGGCCCCCCCTCAACTACTGCATCCTCATCAGCCTGGCCCTCCGCAGCAGCGTGGACAGCAGCCTCACCGTCCAGGAGATCTACCAGTTCACCAGGTATCCAGCGCCAGCTCTTGCAGCCCTCGGGCTCTTGGCAGGCTCCCCTCCCCCACTGGCCTGGGTACAGATAGCTATTCCTCATCAGTCCAATTAAACCAGATAGAGAAGAAATATTCAAATCAATGTTGGAGAGGTTGTCAAGAAATAGGCTCATAAATATGTATATATGTGGTGGACTTGCAAATATATACAATTTTTGGGGAAATTATATTTAAAGAGATAACAACATTGGACTGGATGGCCCTTGGGAGCCCTTGTCAAGTAGATTTCAATAATCTATCAGTCATCTGCCTGTCTGTCTATCCCCATCTGTCTATGTATCATAGAATCCTAGAGCTGGAAGAGACCTCGTGGGCCATCCAGTCCAACCCCATGCTGCCAAGAAGCAGGAAAATTGCATTCGTATCTTAGGGAATTGGATTGGATGACATCTGGGGGTTCCTATCTATCTATCTTTTTATCTGTCTATCTATGTTAGGGGGTTGGACTGGTTGGCTTCTGGGGATCCCTTCCAACTGTAGGATATGATCAGCTATCTATCATCTATCTGTCTATCATCTATCTATCTATCTATCTATCTATCTATCTATCTATCTATCTATCCATCTACCTACCTACCTACCTACCTATCCTACCTACCTTTCCATCCACCCATCTATCCATCCATCTCTCTTATCTATCTTAGTGGGTTGGACTGGGTGACTTCTGGGCATCCCTTCCAAAACTAGGTTTCCATCATCTATCCATCCATCAATTCATCCATCCATGTCTTTTGGGGTCCCCTTCCAACTCCATGATTCTATCATCTATCCATCCATCCATGTCTGTCTGTCTATCCCCCACCTATCTTAGGGGGTTGGACTGGATGGCCTCTGGGGATCCCAACTGTAGGATACTATCAGTTATCTATCTTAAACAGAGGCTGGATGGCCATCTGTCAGGGGTGATTTGAATGCAATATTCCTGCTTCTTGGCAGGGGGTTGGACTGGATGGCCCATGAGGTCTCTTCCAACTCTTTGATTCTAGGATTCTATCATCATCATTATTATTATTATTATTATTATTATTATTATTATTATTATTATTATTATTCTTTATTTGTACCCCACTAGCATCTCCCGAAGGACTTGATGCGGCTTACAAAGGCCAAGGCCTCAACACACAATATAAACAATACAAAACCTAAGACAAATTATAAACAATTAAAGCAATATTAAACAACAAGCAATAAACAACACACTAAGACACAATAAAACTGGACCAGGCCAGAGTAATGGGTACAGGATTAAAAGTGCTGATGTGACAGGTGATATGTAAGGATTATAGGGCAAGTGCAGTGTGCAGTGTGCAGCAATCTCAGTTCTAATAAAGTGCTTCTGGGACTTGGTATTGGAGATTTCCTAATCTGGGAAGGCACATCGGAACAGCCAGGTCTTCAAGTTCTTTCTAAAGACTGCCAATGTAGGGGCCTGTCTAAGATCTTTGGGGAGGGTGTTCCAGAGTCGGGGGGCCACCTCGGAAAAGGCCCTGTCTCGTGTCCTCACCAAACGCGCCTGTGACGCAGGCGGGATCACGAGCAGGGCCTCTCCAGATGAACAAAGTGAACGCGTGGATTCGTAGACGGAGATGCATCAAGGCGTCCCTTCCAAGTAGAATTCTATCATCTATCTATCCATCCATCCATCCATCCATTACTTCTGAGAGTCCATTCCAAGCAGGTTTCTATCATCTATCCTCTATCTATCTATCTATCTATCTATCTATCTATCTATCTATCTATCTATCTCTATCTATCTATCTATCTATCTATCTACCCACCCATCCATCCATCCAACCAACCAACCAACCAACCAACCAACCCTCTCTCTCTCTCTCTCTCTCTCTCTACCTATCTACCTATTCATCCATCCATCCATTAATTCCAAGCAGGATTCTATCATCTATCTATCCTCTATCCATCCATCCATCCCTATCTATCTACCTACCTATCTACCTATTCATCCATCCATCCATACAACCATCCATCCATTCATTACTTCTGGGAGTCCATTCAAAGCAGGTTTCTATCATCTATCTATCTATCTATCTATCTATCTATCTATCTATCTATCTATCTATCTATCTATCTATCCATCCATCCATCCATCCCTCTATCTATCCATCCATCCACCTCCAACCAACCAACCAACCAACCAACCAGCCCCCCCCCTCTCTCTCTATCTATCTACCTATCTACCTATTCATCTATCCATCCATTAATTCCAAGCAGGATTCTATCATCTATCTATCCTCTATCCATCCATCCATCCCTATCTATCTACCTACCTATCTACCTATTCATCCATCCATCCATACAACCATCCATCCATTCATTACTTCTGGGAGTCCATTCCAAGCAGGTTTCTATCATCTATCTATCTATCTATCTATCTATCTATCTATCATCTATCCAACTGTTCATCCAACTATCCATCCATCCATCCAACCTCCCCTCCTCTCTCTCTATCTACCTATCTACCTATTCATCCATCCATCCATTAATTCCAAGCAGGATTCTATCATCTATCTATCCTCTATCCATCCATCCATCCCTATCTATCTACCTACCTATCTACCTATTCATCCATCCATCCATACAACCATCCATCCATTCATTACTTCTGGGAGTCCATTCCAAGCAGGTTTCTATCATCTATCCTCTATCTATCTATCTATCTATCTATCTATCTATCTATCTATCTATCTATCTATCTATCTATCATCCATCCATTCCATCCATCCATCCATCCATCCATCCATCCATCCATCCATCCATCCAACCAACCAACCAACCAACCAACCAACCAACCAACCAGCCCCTCTCTCTCTATCTACCTATCTACCTATTCATCCATCCATCCATTAATTCCAAGCAGGATTCTATCATCTATCTATCCTCTATCCATCCATCCATCCCTATCTATCTACCTATTCATCCATCCATCCATACAACCATACATCCATTCATTACATCTGGGCTCAATTCCTATTCTATCATCTATCTATCTATCTATCTATCTATCTATCTATCTATCTATCTATCTATCTACCTACCTACCTACCTACCTACCTATTCATCCATCCATCCATGCAACCATCCATCCATCCATTACTTCTGGGTGTCCCTTCCAAGTAGGATTCTACCATCTATCTATCCATCCATCCATGTCTGTGTATCCATCCACCCACCCATCTTAGGGGGTTGGACTGGATGGCCTCTGGGGGCTCCTTCAAATTCTAGGATTCCACCAAAGTGGGCAAGCCTTTCTATCCCACCTCCTTGCCCCATGAGGATGGCCAGGCGCTTTGTGGCTGGACGTGGCCCTGGGTCGCCCACTCTTGGTGTGTGCGTGTCTGTGTCTCTGTCTGTGTCCGGCAGGCAGCACTTCCCCTTCTTCCGGACGGCTCCAGAGGGCTGGAAGAACACGGTCCGGCACAACCTGTGCTTCAGCAGCAGCTTTGAGAAGACCACGGACTTTGTCTGCCTGGAGGGGAACCGCAAGTCCCGGCTGTGGAGGCTGACCTCGGAGGGGCGGCGCCGGTTCCAGGAGGAGGCGCAGGCGCTGCCCACCGACCTGATGGGCCTGGTGCACCAGAGCATGGATCGGCCCGGTGCGCATGACGCCTTGCCTTCTCTTGTCCTCCTTGGCTCTTAATGTCCATATATCTATATTAATATCCCGTCAGGATGGAGTTCATGGTGCTGTATGGAGAGTCAGTGGTGCAAGAGAGCATAGTAATAATATAATAATAGCAATATTTCCCCAGAACTCTGCGCATGCCCTGGTGCCCTTCTCTCAAGCACTGGCTCCTCTGCAGGAAATGAGACTCCGCTTTAACATGGCAAGTCGTTGGAACCTGTTGGCTTCCTGAGAGTCAAGTGGAGCCTCCTCAAATGGAGGTTTAAAGCAGAGGCCAGATGGACATCTGTTGGGAGGGCTTGGGTGGTGTTCTTCCATCATGGGACGGAAGGAGCTGGACTGGATAGCCTTTGGGGTTCCCTTCTCACTCCAATGGAATATAGATTGCCTGAGATCCCAATGGAGTCTCCTTCCATAGAGGTTCCTAAGTAGTGGCCAGATGGACATCTGTCAGGAGGGCTTGTATGGTGTTCTTCCATCATGGGACGGAAGGAGCTGGACTGGATAGCCTTCAGGGCGCCCTTCTCACTCTAATAGAATATAGATTTCCTGAGATTCCAGTGGAATATCCTTCCATAGAGGTTTCTAAGCAGAGGCCAGATGGACATCTGTCGGGAGGGCTTGGATGGTGTTCTTCCATCATGGGATGGAAGGGGCTGGATTGGATGATCTCTCTGTCCCTCTCCTTGACCTTTTCCTTCCTCTTCTCCCTCCAGAACTCTTGAGGTCCCTCTTTGGGCTCTGAGATACACGGCATTGCTGCGCCATTCTGCATGAACCCAGAGGGAAGCTGTTGGCGGAAGCCGGGCCTTCCTTCTGCCCGAGTTGGAGCAGGAGGCCACTGGTGCAAATCCCCAGGTCCAGCAGATGTGTGGCTACTGGGAGTTGTAGTCCAGGACATTCCAATGGCTATGGATGCCCAAACAGGAGGGGATAACCTCCTTCACCCAGGACCGGACTGAACAAGCCCCTGCAGAAAGGGGCTGCAACCTTCAGGCGGTCCATCCGTGTTGAACCATTGCATTCAGGATCTTCAGTTGAAAGCGCTTTGAAGACAAAAGTGCCTCCGGGGATTCTTATTTATTTTCCGTTTTCTTTTGGAATTATTTTCTGGAGAAAATTGTTGCACAATAAATGCTTCCAAGCCATGCCTGGTGTTTGTGAATGTTGTTGCAAATATATGTTTCTGAATATATTTTTGCAAATATTTTTTTGAAGATTTTTTATGAATAATTTTCTGATCTTTTTTTTTGCAAATTTTAAAATGAAGATATTTTTGTGAATATCTTTTTGAATATTTCTGCAAATACTTTTCTGAATATATTTTAATGAACATCTGCAAATACTTTTTTGAAGGTATTTTAGTGAATATTTTTGTGCATAGTTTTGCAAATATTTTTATGCAGATATTTTTTGCAATTTTTTTCTAAATATTGTGAATATATTTTTGCAGATAATTTGTGTTGATATTTTAATGAATATGTTTTTGTGATTTTTTAATTAATATATATTTTTGAACATTTTACTGAATGTATTTTGGTGAAAATTTTAATGAATATATTTTGTTGATATTTCAATGAATATTTTCTGAATATTTTAATGAATATTTTCTGAATATTTTAAAGAATTTTTTGTGAATATTTTAATGAATATTTTTGTGGTCATTTTAATGAATATTTTTCTGTGAATATTTTTGTGCATAGTTCTGCAAATATTTTTATGCAGATATTTTTGCAAATATTTTGCACATAGATTTTTGTGGATGTTTTTATTAATATATATTTTTGAATATTTTAATGAATATTTTGTGAAGATATTTTTGCAGATATGTTTATGAAGTTAATTTGTGTGAATACTTTAATGAATATATTTTCTGAATATTTTAATGAATATTTTTGTGGTCATTTTCATGAATATATTTTTGTGATTTTTTTATGAATGTATATTTTTGAACATTTTGATGAATGTATTTTTGTGAAAAATTTAATTAATATTTTGTGAATATTTTAATGAATATTTAATGTATATTTTCTGAATATTTTTGTGAATATTTTAATGAATATTTTTGTGGTCATTTTAATGAATTTTAATGTATATTTTCTGAATATTTTTGTGAACATTTTAATGAATGTTTTTGTGAATATTTTAATGAATATTTTGTAAATATTTTTTTGCAAATATTTTTCTGAATATGTATTTTGCGAATATTTTACTGAAGAGAGAGAGAGAGACTCTGGCTGCAGAGGCAGCGGTGACGTCACCCCGCAGTCCCCAGGAGGGCCGGCAGAGGGCGCGCGCGGGAGGGGGGAGCCCCGGACGCACACGCCGCGTTGCTGCCTTGTGCGTCACTTCCGCTCCCGCTCGCGCAAAATGGCCGGCGGAAGCGAGCGGGCAGGAAGGGGCGTTGTTGTGGCGGCGTCGGCGGCGTCCAAGATGGCGGAGGGGACGGTGTTTTGGTGCGGGCTGTGCCGGCGCAGCGCCTTCGTGGGCCGCAGGAGGCACACCTTCAGCGCCGGGCACCAGCGCCGCCTCCGCGGGACCCTCGCCCGCCTCGCCCACAAAGCAAGCGCCCGCCTCGGCCTCCCTCCTGCCTCTCTCTTCCCCTTCGGCCTATCTCCCTCCCTCCCTCCCTCCCTGCCTCCTCCTCTTCTTCTGGTCTCCTTCCTTTCTTCTTCTCCTTATGAACTTCTTAATCTTCTTTCCTTCTTATTTCTCCTCCTTCTCCTCTTCGGTCTTCTCTTTCCTTTCTTCTTCTGGCTTCCTTCTTCTTATTCCTCCTCCTCCTCTTCATCTTATGGCATCCTTCCTTCTCCTTCTTATGATCTCCTTCTTCATCTGGCTTCTTTCCTTCCTATTTCTCCTCCTTCTCCTCTTCTGGTCTCCTTCCTTTCTTCTCCTCCTTATGAACTTCTTAATCTTCTTTCCTTCTCTTCTTCTGGTCTCCTTCCTTTCTTCTTCTCCTTATGAACTTCTTAATCTTCTTTCCTTCCTATTTCTCCTCCTTCTCCTCTTCGGGTCTCCTTCCTTTCTTCTCTTCTCTTTCCTTTCTTCTTCTGGCTTCCTTCTTCTTATTCCTCCTCCTCCTCTTCATCTTATGGCATCCTTCCTTCTCCTTCTTATGATCTCCATCTTCATCTGGCTTCTTTCCTTCCTATTTCTCCTCCTCCTCTTCTTCTGGTCTCCTTCCTTTCTTCTTCTCCTTATGAACTTCTTAATCTTCTTTCCTTCTTATTTCTCCTCTTTCTCCTCTTCGGGTCTCCTTCCTTTCTTCTCTTTCCTTTCTTCTTCTGGCTTCCTTCTTCTTATTCCTCCTCCTCCTCTTCATCTTATGGCATCCTTCCTTCTCCTTCTTATGATCTCCATCTTCATCTGGCTTCTTTCCTTCCTATTTCTCCTCCTCCTCTTCTTCTGGTCTCCTTCCTTTCTTCTTCTCCTTATGAACTTCTTAATCTTCTTTCCTTATTTCTCCTCCTTCTCCTCTTCGGGTCTCCTTCCTTTCTTCTCTTCTCTTTCCTTTCTTCTTCTGGCTTCCTTCTTCTTATTCCTCCTCCTCCTCTTCATCTTATGGCATCCTTCCTTCTCCTTCTTATGATCTCCATCTTCATCTGGCTTCTTTCCTTCCTATTTCTCCTCCTCCTCTTCTTCTGGTCTCCTTCCTTTCTTCTTCTCCTTATGAACTTCTTAATCTTCTTTCCTTATTTCTCCTCCTTCTCCTCTTCGGGTCTCCTTCCTTTCTTCTCTTCTCTTTCCTTTCTTCTTCTGGCTTCCTTCTTCTTATTCCTCCTCCTCCTCTTCATCTTATGGCATCCTTCCTTCTCCTTCTTATGATCTCCTTCTTCATCTGGCTTCTTTCCTTCTTATTTCTCCTTCCTTCCTATTTCTCCTCCTTCTCCTCTTCGGGTCTCCTTCCTTTCTTCTCTTTCCTTTCTTCTTCTGGCTTCCTTCTTCTTATTCCTCCTCCTCCTCTTCATCTTATGGCATCCTTCCTTCTCCTTCTTATGATCTCCATCTTCATCTGGCTTCTTTCCTTCCTATTTCTCCTCCTCCTCTTCTTCTGGTCTCCTTCCTTTCTTCTTCTCCTTATGAACTTCTTAATCTTCTTTCCTTCTTATTTCTCCTCCTTCTCCTCTTCGGGTCTCCTTCCTTTCTTCTTCTCCTTATGAACTTCTTAATCTTCTTTCCTTCCTATTTCTCCTCCTTCTCCTCTTCGGGTCTCCTTCCTTTCTTCTCTTCTCTTTCCTTTCTTCTTCTGGCTTCCTTCTTCTTATTCCTCCTCCTCCTCTTCATCTTATGGCATCCTTCCTTCTCCTTCTTATGATCTCCATCTTCATCTGGCTTCTTTCCTTCCTATTTCTCCTCCTCCTCTTCTTCTGGTCTCCTTCCTTTCTTCTTCTCCTTATGAACTTCTTAATCTTCTTTCCTTATTTCTCCTCCTTCTCCTCTTCGGGTCTCCTTCCTTTCTTCTCTTCTCTTTCCTTTCTTCTTCTGGCTTCCTTCTTCTTATTCCTCCTCCTCTTCATCTTATGGCATCCTTCCTTCTCCTTCTTATGATCTCCATCTTCATCTGGCTTCTTTCCTTCCTATTTCTCCTCCTCCTCTTCTTCTGGTCTCCTTCCTTTCTTCTTCTCCTTATGAACTTCTTAATCTTCTTTCCTTATTTCTCCTCCTTCTCCTCTTCGGGTCTCCTTCCTTTCTTCTCTTCTCTTTCCTTTCTTCTTCTGGCTTCCTTCTTCTTATTCCTCCTCCTCCTCTTCATCTTATGGCATCCTTCCTTCTCCTTCTTATGATCTCCATCTTCATCTGGCTTCTTTCCTTCCTATTTCTCCTCCTCCTCTTCTTCTGGTCTCCTTCCTTTCTTCTTCTCCTTATGAACTTCTTAATCTTCTTTCCTTCCTATTTCTCCTCCTTCTCCTCTTCGGGTCTCCTTCCTTTCTTCTCTTCTCTTTCCTTTCTTCTTCTGGCTTCCTTCTTCTTATTCCTCCTCCTCCTCTTCATCTTATGGCATCCTTCCTTTCTTCTCCTTATGAATTTCTTAATCTTCTTTCCTTCTTATTTCTCCTCCTTCTCCTCTTCGGGTCTCCTTCCTTTCTTCTTCTCCTTATGAACTTCTTAATCTTCTTTCCTTCCTATTTCTCCTCCTTCTCCTCTTCTTTCTCCTTTTTATCCTCTTCTTCTTCTCTTTCTCCTCCTCTTTTTCCTTCTTCCCTTCTCCATCTTTTTCTCGTTCTTCTCTTTCTCCTCCTCTTCTTCTCCTTCCTTCTTATTTCTCCTCCTCCTCTTCTTCTGGTCTCCTTCCTTTCTTCTTCTCCTTATGAATTTCTTAATCTTCTTTCCTTCTTATTTCTCCTCCTTCTCCTCTTCGGGTCTCCTTCCTTTCTTCTTCTCCTTATGAACTTCTTAATCTTCTTTCCTTCCTATTTCTCCTCCTTCTCCTCTTCGGGTCTCCTTCCTTTCTTCTCTTCTCTTTCCTTTCTTCTTCTGGCTTCCTTCTTCTTATTCCTCCTCCTCCTCTTCATCTTATGGCATCCTTCCTTCTCCTTCTTATGATCTCCTTCTTCATCTGGCTTCTTTCCTTCTTATTTCTCCTCCTCCTCTTCTTCTGGTCTCCTTCCTTTCTTCTTCTCCTTATGAACTTCTTAATCTTCTTTCCTTCTTATTTCTCCTCCTTCTCCTCTTCGGGTCTCCTTCCTTTCTTCTCTTTCCTTTCTTCTTCTGGCTTCCTTCTTCTTATTCCTCCTCCTCCTCTTCATCTTATGGCATCCTTCCTTCTCCTTCTTATGATCTCCTTCTTCATCTGGCTTCTTTCCTTCTTATTTCTCCTCCTCCTCTTCTTCTGGTCTCCTTCCTTTCTTCTTCTCCTTATGAACTTCTTAATCTTCTTTCCTTCCTATTTCTCCTCCTTCTCCTCTTCGGGTCTCCTTCCTTTCTTCTCTTCTCTTTCCTTTCTTCTTCTGGCTTCCTTCTTCTTATTCCTCCTCCTCCTCTTCATCTTATGGCATCCTTCCTTCTCCTTCTTATGATCTCCTTCTTCATCTGGCTTCTTTCCTTCTTATTTCTCCTCCTTCTCCTGTCTTCTTTCTTTCTTCCCTCCTTTCTTCTTCTTCTCTTCCTCCTTCTTATTCCTCCTCCTCTTCATCTTATGGCATCCTTCCTTTCTTCTTCCCTCCTTCTTTTTCCTTCTTCTTCCTCCTCTTCATCTTATGGCATCCTTCCTTTCTTCTTCCTTCTTTCGATCGTCTTCTCCACCTTCATCTACCTACCCCTCTTCCTCTTCTGATGGTTTCCTTCTTATTCCTCCTCTTCTTCTTTCTCGTCTTCTTCTAGCTTCCTTCTTTCTTCTTATTCCTCCTCCTCCTCCTCATCTTATGGCATCCTTTCTTTCTCCTTCTTATGATCTTCTCCTCCTCCATCTGGCTTCTTTCCTTGTTTCTCCTTCTCTTCTTCTGGCCTCTTCCTTTCTCTCTTTCTCTCCTTCCTTCTTTTTCTTATGGTCTTCTTTCTTTCTTCCCTCTTTCTTCTTTTCTCTTCCTCCTTCTTATTCCTTCCTCTTCATCTTATTTCCCTCTTTCTTCCTTCTTCCTTTCCTTCCTTCCTTTCCTTCCTTTCTTCTTCCTATGATCGTCTTCTATTCTTCCTCTTCTGATGGTTTCCTTTCTTCCTATTCCTCCTCCTCTTCATCTTATAGCCTCCTTCCTTTCTTCTTCCTTCCTTCTTTCCTTCCCTACTTCTTTGTTCCTTCTCTCCTTCATTCTCCTACCCCCCTTCCTCTTCTGAGGTTTCCTTCCTTCCTTTTCCTCCTCTTCTTCTTTCTCATCTTCTTCTTACGATGTTCTTCTCTTCTTTCTTCATATTCCTCCTCCTTTTCATCTTATGGCCTCCTTCTTTTCTTCTTCTCCCTCCTTCTTTCCTTCCTTCCTTCTTTCATTGCTTGCTTGCTCCTGCCTTCTTCTTACCCCTCTTCTTCTTCTGGCTTCCTTCGTATTTTCCCTTCTCCTCCTCCTCGTCCTCTTAAGGTCTCTTTCCTTTCTTCCTCTTTTTCTCTTTCTTTCTTCTTTTGGTCTACTTCCTTCCTTTCCTTCTTCTCTTCCGTCTTCATATTCCTCTTCATCGTATGGCCTTCCTTTCCTCTTCTTCCTCCTCCCTCCTTTTCTTCTTCTTCTCCTCCTTCTCCTCTTCTGGTCTCATTCATTCTTCTTGTGGTCATCTGCTTCATCTGGCTTCCTTCCTCCCTCCTTATTTCTCCTCTTGTTCTTGTCTCTTTCATCCCTTCTTATTCCTCTTCTTGTGGTCTTCTCTTCATCTGGCTTCCTTCTATTTCTCCTCCCCCCTTCTTATGGTCTCCATCCTTCCTGTTCCTCCTCTTCTTTTTCTCATCTTTTATGGTCTCCTTCCATCCTTTTTATTCCTCTTCCTCTCTCCAGAGGAGGAATAGTTTTCCTTCCTATTCTTCCTCTTCTTCTTTCTCATCTTCTTCTTATGATCTTCTTTTCCTTCTTCATATTCCTCCTCCTTTTCATCTTAAGGCCTCCTTTCTTCTCCTTCCTCCCTCCCTTCCTTGCTTGCTTGCTTTTTATTTCTCCTCCTCCTCCTCTTCTTTGGGTCTTCGTCGTTCTTGTGGTCTTCTCCTTCATCTTCCTCATTATTATTTCTCCTCCTCCCCTTCTTATGGTCTCCTTCCTTCCTGTTCCTTCTCTTCTCCTTTCATCTTTTATGGTCTCCTTTCATCCTTTTTATTTCTCCTTCTCCCTTCTTCCTCATCTGATGGTTTCCTTCCGTCCTTCCTTCCTTCCCTCTCTGGGCTCCTGTTACAAATTAAAGCTATTAAAAAAACCACACATTTAAAACATTATTTCCAACCCATGCCCATATACATATTTTAGGCATTTCTGCATTTTATTTCTCTCCTTCCTTCCCTTCTCCCCTCTCTATGTATATATGTATATATGTAATATTTATACACAGATATATTTTCCAAGTATGTTCTATTGATACAAAACAGAGTAATAAAACACAACTTAGCTACTCCCCATTTGTCAAAAACCTATAGCACATACAAACCCTAAATACTTACAGCAACAGACTTTATAGCAGTCAACAGAAACGTGAAATACATAGTAAAATAGCACATGGTAAAAAGAACGTGATTCATTGGAAGATCATTCTACCACAATACTGCATTTCTTCAGTTTCCTCCCACCCCAATATAGAAATATCTAAACGCTGGTGCTTTTAAAAAATATATATCAATAAAGCTTCTGTCTTGGTGGCATTGAGATTCATGTGTATCTTGCAATCGGTGGTGCCTTGGAATTGAAGAAATGCGGTATTTCAAACAGAACAGATCCTGTTATGAGACAGAAGTAGTTGTGGAAGCACATTGGAACACAGTGGTGCGCCCGACAGAAAGGGCTGCTGATACAGGACATGGAAGGAGAAAGTGTGTGACCTCCTCCCACCAATAAATATGGGGCCTGTGACAGTTTGTGCAGCTAAAAAACAGGCTTCCTTCTTGATTGGGCCGGTGGTCTTGCATCCCTGGAGTTTAGGAATTAATGAGCAAGTGGGAGCAGAGATGGAAGGAAGAACTCTAGTTCTAGAGAAGCCTGCCAACCTTTGGCCCTGTTTTGATTCTCCGCTCAGGTGGACGCGGCCCGGAAGATGCTGAAACACGCAGAAGTGGTGCCCTTTGACCCAGCGGAGCACGAGCGGCAGTTCTGGTGCGCCTGCTGCGGGCAGGAAGTGCGCCTGCACCTGAGCCATGGGTCCCTGGCGGTGCTGCATGGGGGCCTCCTGGAGCATCTAGCCAGGTGAGCAATGGAGGAGGCTGAGAGGTTGTGAAAACGTGGTTGTTCCAGTGTGCCTTCCCAGAATAAGGATAACTCTTAGCAATGTGTCCTCAAATGCACTTTCAACATTGATTTAGGATTGCCTGCGCGCCTTTCTTTGAAAACCCTATCCTAGTTATATCCTACCTTGTTCATGCCCAGCATTATTTTTTAAATTTTACATTTGGCCCGGCCATACGTTTTTAAATGCTTGTATGTTATTGTTTATTGTTTATTTTTGTTTTGAGATTTATTTTACTGTTTTGTATTGATTATTTTGTTATTGCCTTCTTTTATTGATGTACTGCAGACTTGGCCTCATGTAATCCGCACCGAGTCCCTTGGGAAGATGGTAGCAGGGTACAAATAAAGTATTATTGTTATTATTATTATTATTATTGAAGGGCTGGATTGGGAACGACAACCTGTTGCAGTGCAGTCGCATCCAAAGATTGCTGCACTTCGTCTGGGGAGGGTGGGGGGCTTAGTCTCTGGGATCGGGAAGCTGCCGTGGGGCCAACTACCTTCTGAAGCAAGTTGACGTTTCTCAGTTCCTCCCTTAGGCTGGGCTCAGTATTGGTTGGCCCTGTTCCCATCAGTATTTTGACGGCTCAACAACTTGGAGCAGCTCAGCAACAATATGACAGTGTAAATAATATGGACAATAATAAATATATAACCAATTTACAATTGAATCAAACAAATAATAACAAAACAAAATCAATATGATAGCAAAAACAAATGATATTAAATTGGCACAAGAAACACCATCCATAAATAAAAATAAACAGTGGATTGTGTTTGTTTATTTATTTATTTAAAACACTTCTATTCCACCCTTCTCACCCCAAAGGGGACTCAGAGCGGAGCACAGCATATACATGGCAAACATTCAATGCCTGGTACAATACATAAACATTTAAAAAACATTTATCTAAATATTAAAATACACCATTTAAAGTAACACAATTTAAAACCGTCCTAGCCATCCGCATCAAATCCAATTGGCCTGGTCATCTTTCCCATTGTCGCTTTATTGCCCTGTCCCGAAAGCTTGGTCCCAGAGCCAAGTTTTGACCATCCTTCTAAGGACAGGAGGAAGGGGGCCGACCTGATCTCCCCAGGAAGGGAGTTCCATAGCCTGGGAGCAATCGCCAAGAAGACCCTGTCCCTCATCCCCACCAATCGCGCCTGTGACAATGGCGGGACAGAAAGGAGGGCCTCCCTGGAGGATCTTAATCTCCGTGATGGTTCATAGAGGGAGATGCATTTGGACAGGCAATTTGGGCCGGGACCGTTTCACTTTGAGTGTTAGTGTTAACTAATACCGTTAAAAATCATTGATTCTGGTCTGAGTTTTATTCTTTGCAGATACGTTGTTTTGTTTATTAGAGCCCTGTGCACCAATGGGAATTATTTTCCATACCAGCCCCTATCTCCACCACCATGAGAGCATTCAGGGTCTGTTTGTTTCCATCATTCATTGTGACTTTGGTGATATCACCTCTGTTTTCAATCTGAAGTGTAGGTATTCTATAGATGTCTTTTCAGAGCATGCAACAGTGTGGAAATTCCTCTCTCTTAGGGAAGTGTCGCACAGTTGTACAATACAATCTCTCACCAGACTAGCATTATTAGGAACCTGTGCCTTTCCAACATGGCAGATCTTTCTTCTCTTTCAAGCCCCGGCCACAAGAGAGGAGTTGCTGCCTTTTGGTGGGAGAACAAAGCTGACCCAAAGCTGAAGGCAAAATTCCTGGTGTCCCCTGAAGAATACGAACTGTGAGTAGAGTCTTTGCTGGGCTTTGCTATTTAGGATAGGGAAGGATCAGGAACATAAGTACCACCTGAACTGTGCTTGCCTTGGGCTGCCCAGGAACAAACGATGTGCTGACCTCTCCCTCCTTTTCCAGCTTCAAAGCATCACTCACCAAAGCGCTGGACGCTTATGAAGAAAAGGAAGACGAGGGCATCAAAGAGGTGAGGGTGGCACTCTGGGGGAGGTCGTGGGGTCTGCTCTCCTGCTCCGGAGACTCACTTTGCCCTCTTCCTGCTCTGATTTCAGGCGGCGGCCCGCATCCGAGAGGCCGAGCAGAGGCGCCAGGAGATGCTGCAGGCCCTCTTAGAGGTTGGTCTGCCCAGGTGGCCAGTGAGTGGGCAGTATCCACCATTTCAGGTCGCAGGGGCCTCTGTGGAGCCCACCCTCTCTCTCTCTCTAGTCCCAGCCCTTGAGGCACTAAGATCTCTACTGTATTTGTTCACCATATCTCACTAGGATACAGGGGCATACACATGTTGACCTGCTTCAGTATACAAAGCAGGGATGGGCCCCCAGGGTGGTTGTTGTGGCCTCTGAGGGTTGGAATACTCTATTTCAGTGTTTCTCAACCTCCCTATTGCTGCGACCCCTTAATATAGTTCCTCATGTTGTGGTGACCCCCAACCATCACATAACTGTCATTTTGCTCCTGTTATGAATGGTACTGCAATAATCTCATAAGCAGGGTGTATTTTCACTGGATCAAATTTGGCACAAATACCCGATATGCCCAAATTTGAATAGTGGTGGGATTTGGAGGAGGGGGGATTTATTGATTTTGTTATTTGGGAGTTCGAGTTGTTGGGATTTATAGTTCACCTACAATCCGAACTCCACCAATGATGGAATTGAACCAAACATGGCACACAAAACTCCCATGGCCAACAGAAAACCCTGGAAGGGTTTGGTGGGCATTGACTTTGAGTTTGGGAGTTGTAGTTCACCTATATCCAGACAGCACTCTGGACTCAAACAATGATGGATCTGGACCAAACTTGGCACAAATACTCAATATGCCCAAATGTGAACACTGGTGGAGTTTGGGGAAAATAGACCTTGATAGTTGGGAGTTGTAGTTGCTGGGATTTATAGTTCACCTATAATCAAAAAGCATTCTGAACCCCACCAACAATCGAATTGGGCCAAAATTCCTACACAGAACCATGACCAACAGAAAATACTGTGTTTTCTGATGGTCTTTGGCAACCCCTCTCACACCCCCAGCGACCCCCTCAGGGGTCCCGACCCCCAGGTTGAGAACCACTGCTCTATTTTCCTGTGTTTGGGATCCAGTCTTCTCCCCTCTATTGGGAATCACTTCCAGATTGTTGTGGTGTGCCTTCATTCCCAACTGTCAGCTACCCAAAGGCAATCCCTCCCTGTTAGGGGGTGGGAAGAGGCTCAAAAGGCCTGGGCTCCCAGTCCCTTCCATTGCAAGAGGGTTGGGGTTCACTTTGCCACAACCTGTAGATGGGAATGAGGGAGAGCCCTTCCTGCTCACCGCTTGGGATTCCACGCCAAGGGCTCCTATGGAACAATGATTAGTCTTGTCTCTTGGAACAAGTGTGTTTTTCCTGAATCAAACTCAGCCACAGAGGGAGACGGAGCCCTGTGATGGAGCAGCTGCTGCGGGCAATGGCTTGACTACAAGGCTCAGGTAAGACTTGCGTTGGGCATGATTGGGACCAGCACTGCTGAGTGATGCTCACTTCTGAAAACCATGGGAGCCATGCGCTCTTCTCCTGGCATCCAACTGTATTCTCAATTGTACGCACATGCTTCCTGCCCCAGGCTGAGACCTTTTCCTGTGTTGTAGTGACTCTGCTTTTGCCACGGATGAACAGGGACAGCCCCAGCCCAGCAGCAGCAGCACCATGCGCCACGGAGGACGGCCTGGCTTCCTCCACAGGAGTGACCCTGAGCCGGACTGGCTGGAGTCAAGGCAGCCCTTGACTTTCATTGGCCACCAGGTGCGAAGAAAGGAGATCTCTTTCCTCATCTCTAGATCCCCCAAAACATGAATTGTGTCTAATTTGTGAGAGACAGAGATGCTTCTTTGGCAGTGGCACACAAAACCCTGACCTTTCCTGCTTAAAGACATCCAGATTGGTGCATGACAGTTGGGAGGAATTCCATGTTGAATGGGAAAGCAGAGAATAATAATAATAATAACAATAATAATAATAATAATAATAATAATAATAATAAACCTTTTGTACCCTACTACCATCTCCCAAAGGACTCAGTGCGGCTTACAAGAGGCCGAGCCCAAATACAACAATAAAACAGCAGCAGCAACAACACAATAACTCAAAAAACAAAGCGATAACAATTAATGCCCAATGATGCAATTAAAAACAATGGCTGGGCCAATTGTAACAATTAAAATTAAAAAGTGCTGTTTCCCCTTAGTAATGTTGCTTAAGGAAGCACATCTGTTATTTTCATTTCATTACTATGTTTTCATTAAGTATTTTATTTGATGTTATTGTTTTGTTTACATGTGCTTTTGCTTTATTGTAATTTGTTTGGGCTTGACTTAATGTTAGCTGCCCCGAGTACCTTCGGAGAGATTTTTTTTATCGTGTCAGAAGCAAGCCAAACAGTTGTATTGCATTTTTAACAAAACAAACAAAACACAAAGTTTGCAAGCTTGGTAGTTGATTAAATGTCCTTTGACCAGTATCTGGCCACTTGGAGTGCCTCTGGTGTTGCTGCAAGGAGGTCCTCCATTGTGCATGTGGCAGCACTCAGGGTGCATTGCAGCATTAAGTTTTATATTCTTAAAACTTAAAAGGTAGCGTAGAAGCCCGAAATGCAAAAAGCGAGATAGCAGATAGTGTTAGATTAAAGCTAGGAAAAATATGCTATCAAAATGGAGGCGATCCGCCATCTCGCGGATATGGGGGCCCTTGGGGGTTTACGTATCCGCGGTTTGGAGGAGTGCAGATTCGGCCTCTCCGGAACGCCAGGAAGGCATTCCGGGCAGGCCTGCAGTCTCCAGCGGCCTGGAAAAGGTTAGTTTCATGCATTTGGATAGTTTCAGGCAAGAAAGAGACACAAAGTATCAAGCTAGAAAGTTAAAAAGTTGCAATTTCATTAATCTTTATTTAGGGATTTGTTACATTGTTGGAGCTAGCAAGGAAGTGAAAGGAGAGAGCACACGGCTGTATAGAGTCCCTGGTTGAGCTTGCTGTTGGGACACATTTCATCAGTTTGACTAAATTTGGCATCCAGGAACTGTGGAACTCCCTGCAGCTGGTCACACCAGCTTGAAGGCAGGGGCCTGAGATGCCCTCGACGACAGGCTCAGGTTACATTGCAGCAGGTGGTCAGTGGTTTGCTCTCCTCCACACTCGCATGTTGAGGATTCCACATTGTAGCCCCATTTGAAGGTTGGCTCTGCATCTCGTGGTGCCAGAGTGCAGTCTGTTCAGCGCCTTCCAAGTCGTCCAGTCCTCTGTGTGCCCAGGGGGGAGTCTCTCATTGGTATCAGCCATTGGTTGAGGTTCTGGGTTTGAGCCTGCCACTTTTGGACTCTCGCTTGATGAGGTGTTCCAGCGAGTGTCTCTGTAGATCTTAGAAAACTATGTTTAATTTTAAGTCGTTGGCGTGCTGGCTGATACCCAAACGGGATGGGCTGGAGATGTCACTGCCTTGGTCCTTTCACTATTGGCTGCTACTTCCTGGCGGATGTCAGGTGGTGCAATACCGGCTAAGCAGTGTAATTTCTCCAGTGGTGTAGGGCGCAGACACCCTGTGATAATGCGGCATGTCTCATTAAGAGCCACATCCACTGTTTTAGTGTGGTGAGATGTGTTCCACACTGGGCATGCGTACTCAGCAGCAGAGTAGCATAGCGCAAGGGCAGATGTCTTCACTGTGTCTGGTTGTGATCCCCAGGTTGTGCCAGTCAGCTTTTGTATGATATTGTTTCTAGCGCCCACTTTTTGCTTGATGTTCAGGCAGTGCTTCTTGTAGGTCCAAAGTGACTCCCAGGTATTTGGGTATTTGGTCGCTCCAGAAGCGACCAGAAGCAGAGAAATGATGGAAGGGTATAAATAAAGACTATTATTATTAGTAGTAGTATATTGTGAATCCTATTAATAGCAACTGTGGGTGCTTTTCTCTTCCTCCTAACGGCGCTCAAACATTTTTGTAACTTTTGTTTTTACTTGTTTTGAATACAGGACGCAGCCAGCGGAGGCAACATTCACACAGGTGTGTCTGCAAAGAAAGAGCATGGTTTTGTCCCTGTGGCATCAGAGATAGAAATACTCCAGATTGACAAGAGAAGGATCGTGGTCCTCGTTGCATCTGGAGTAGTCCCTTCCCTCTTCTCCCTTCCTCTTAAAGAAGAGAATGCAATAAATCTGCGTTTGCTTTGCCTTTGGTGTAAAAGAAATGCTGTGCTGACCTCCCCTTTGGTTCTTTAGGTGCCAAACCCCCTTGGATGATGGAAGAGGAGGAGGAAGAGGGGGCAAGTCAGGGGCAGATTGGGCCTTCCTATGAGGAATTTCTCAAGGAAAGTGAGTATCTCCGAGACTGTCTGCAAGCTGAATCTTCCTGGCATTGGCCCAAGTGCTAGAAACCAAGGCTGTATATCTGTGACTGAACAAGACTTTCTCCTTCTCCCTTTCAAAGAAGAGAAGCAGAAGCTGAAGAAACTCCCTCCCAATCGCGTGGGCGCCAACTTTGACCACACTTCGGAGACAGGAGAGGGCTGGCTTCCCTCCTTTGGACGGGTCTGGAACCATGGACGCAGGTGGCAGTCCAGGTATGCAACGTGGTGTATGTCGGATTCCTGCAAGGTACACACTCTGAGACTACCCCAGTGTCTCCATACTGCTTTTAGCAGGAACGGGTTGTGACTTTTGACAACTACACCAGTACAAATTGTTTGTTTGGTAAACTATTTAAAGGCAGTGATTGTGTAGCTAGCTTTTCTAAATAGCTGTTGCTTTTACAAGTTTGCTTCAGTATGCAAATATATACTGAAACAAACATAGTGCAGTATTTTAGGAAATTGCATTTCCTCAAATATATCTAACTGTAGTTTATAACTCACCACAAAACTACTGTATATGCTCGAGTATAAGCCGGCCCAAATATAAGCTGAGGCACCCAATTTTACCACAAAAAAACTGAGAAAACGTATTGACTTGAGTATAAGCCGAGGAATGGAAATGCAGCAGCTACTGGTCAATTTCAAAATAAAAATAGATACCAATAAAATTATATTAATTGAGGCATCAGGGATTTGAGATTTATTTTAACTGCTTTGTATTAGTATTTGTTTTTTGCTTTGTATTGTGGTTGTATTGCTTGTATTGATGTATTGCTGGGCTTGGCCTCATGTAAGCCGCACCGAGTCCCTTGGGGGGATGGTAGCGGGGTATAAATAAAGTTTTATTATTATTATTATTATTATTAGTAGTAGTAGTAGTAGTAGTAGTAGTAGGTTAAATGCTTTTGAATATTTACATAAAACTGTAATTAAGACAAGACTGTCCAACTCTGATGAAACCATTATTCTCCCCTTCTTCAATGTAAATGCACTTACATATCCTTCCAATAATAATAGAGTAAAATAATAAAGGTAATAAAACAATAATACAGTAAAATAATAATAGAGTAAAATAATGTAAATATAATAATAATAATAATAATAGAGTAAAATAATAAATGTAATAAAATGATACTAATAGAGTAGAATAATAAATAACCTTGACTCAAGTATAAGCCGAGAGGAGCGTTTTCAGCCTAAAAAGAGGGCTGAAAAACTAGGCTTATACTTGAGTATATACAGTATTTTTAAAAATGAGAATGGATTATAATGCACTGAAACTGGCACTAAAAACTTATTTTCAAAGTTAAAAAGATGCCACAGACTCCCTTTTCATTCACGCTGTCTTGAAGCCAAACTTGGGCCTTGTTTGCCTTTTGTGCCAAGACCTTTGCCAGTTTCCTTTCAGTTGCAAAGAGCTTTTGCCTCCTCCTTCTTCTCAAGTAAATGGCCGTGCCTGGAATCCTAAATCTACTTGGAATGCATATTTAAGGAAGCAAACAGGAAGACTACAGTTGATGCACAAAAGGCCGGTCCTTCTGTTGACTCATCTAACTTACTCTCATTGGTTATGTTTTTTTCCCTAGGCATCAGTTCAAAGCTGAAGCAGGAGACAAACCCCGAAGTAAAAGGAAGGAGCCAAAAACAGAGTGAAGAGAAGGGAACGTCTCCTGCCTCCAGTTCCTCTCTGTTCATTCAATTGCAAAAGAGATGTATTGACATTATCATTAGGAAAACCCAAGGGAGTTTTAAACTTTGGTTACAATTAGATTTTATATTCACAGCAGTTTGGAGTTTTCCTCTTGAGACCAATTGGCATGTGCTCCTATTTATAATAGTAACTTGTATTAAATTTTATGTTGAGACTTCAGTAAATGTGTGTGTTTCCACAAGAGCCTCAAAAGCAAAATTACTATCTTCTCCCAGACCACTTAATTTGTTTCGCTCCACGTGATAATGTATTCCGTGCCTTTTGATTATACAAATAAAGATGTCACAACTTGTATTTTCCATTTGGTCCCTACGCATGTAGTCCATGTTATCATACTGCAGCCCAGTCATGGGAAGAGACACATTTCAGCCCAAGCTCATATCATGACGCATGTTAAGGAATTGAAACTATTTTATTTTTTTTGTAAATATACAGAAGAGTCAGAAAGCCATTGGTGGACCTGCAAAACAAAAGAGGACTAATCAGAATTGCGTAACCACTGAAGAGATGGTCAATGTATTAGGAGCCCAAGAGGTTGGAAGTCCATTGGTGGGGCGCTGCTCACCTTTTCAGGCCTCCTCCCCAGCGGCTGGGGCATCGCCTCCCTTGGTGTTTCGGGTGTAGATGACTTGGGCTCTGTGCTTGGACACCAGCTTGATCAGGCCTGTTGAGGGCACAAAACAGTTCGCGTGAGGAAGAGCACATCACACGGGCACCAACTTGTATACAACAATTGCACTATGTAACACAGTTTTTGTTCCTGGAATATAATTGTCATTTCCTAATTGGTTCTAACCATAAAAATATGCAAAAAGTTTATTAAACTGCAAAAATATTGTTTTTGAGGCGAGGGACATCCTGCAGCAGCACGTTTTGCTCTAGTTTGTCAATGAATAAAGAGTCTCAGCCAATTCAACCTAGTTTGTGGCAGCCACAAAAACAGTTTCTGGAGGAGAAAAAGTTTCAAAGTAAGGACTGAACAATTAAACACAAAATAACACTTTCAGACCACTTTTTTTTTTCAAATTTTGTTACATAGTGTTAAGCTTGATTCCACAATCCCTGTTTTAATGAGCCCCCCTCCACTAATAACCTGCTTCTCCTTTTATGTCACCCGTGTTTTTAATCAGTTTTTAAAATCATTTTCTCGCACATGTAGCCGCCCATTGTCACTGTGACTGTGTTTATTGTAATCTTATATTGTTAATGTATTCATATGTTTTATGTAATTATGTTGTTGTTCATTGCATGTGTTTTTGGTTTTATTTTGCTGTATTTGTTGATTGGGCTTGGCCTCATGTAAGCAGCCCCTAGTTGGGGAGATAGTGATAATTTATTATTATTATCATCATCACTATTAATGACTGGACCAATGCCATGCTTCATAAATGGAGAGCATGGTTCACTCCCACTGGGTAGATTCCGGTGCTTAACAAGCCCCAGCCTAGTGCTAAGTAGTGAGCGGATCCCTCTATCAAGCTGTGGCACTTTGACCTGAACAGCCTTCAATAGCAGCACCTTTAAGGAAGGGAACTGTATGCGGAGCGTCCCCAGGGAAGAGGTGTGTCTCCGGGCGGTGCCTACCTTTGCTGAGCAGCTCCTGGAGGGCGGCCCTGGCCAGGGAGCCCCGGATCTTGAGCCGCTCGGAGACCACGGCCGGCGTGATGAGCTTGTAGTTGGGCACCTCCTTGCAGAGCTTGTCATAGGTGGCTTTGTCAAAGAGCACCAGGTTGTTCAGCTTGTCCCTCACTTTCCCCTTGGACCACTTCTGCTCGGGAAAAGAGGAAAGAAGGCTGCCTTAGAGTCAGGGAACAAACAAGACCCTGCTTTCCTGGGCACGGCCAGGCCGGCTTCCTGTTTGGCAGAAGCAGCCGGCCTTTCCTTTCATCACAATGAAGGAGCTGAGATTTCACAAGTGAAACTTTTCTTCTTCAAAGTCTCATTTGTGAAATCTCAGCTCCTTTATTGTGGTTTTGAGAATGGGTGAAAAGAGGGGAGGAGAGAGAGCAAAGAGTGAGGGAATTTGGAAAGAGATTGTGTTGTCAGGCACCAGGGGAAAAAGAAAAGCGAGAGAGCAAAATAACCTGAAAGAGATAGGAGGGGGATTCACAATTATATTTTAATTCCTAGAGTCTGAATGGAAATAGACTAGAAATTAGGCTTGGTCGAGTTTATTCGGAAGCTTCTTAAATCGGAATTAATTCAGATTAAATTCCCTTTTGAACCAATTTCGATCCATGCAGGAATAGTGGGAGGAGCAATTCCTAATTGAAACCACTTACCCATTGTTTGGGATTATTTTCGGATGTCTCCCACAGGTATTTTGATTTTCAGAACCATTAAGTAACTTTGGCAAAGCCTACAAACAGTTTTAAAATCTCGCASTTTCCCTTCCCTGGCGGCGATGCAGAGGGACGAGGTGGGCCTGGCTAAGCAGTGACAGCTCTTCTTGATGGCCACTGGGGGCGTGGCCTTCAAGAAGAGCTGTGCTTAGCCACGCCCACCTCGTCCCTCTTTGCATCGCCATTCGCCACCAGGGAAGGGAAAGTGCGAGATTTTAAAACTGTTTGTAGGCTTTGCCAAAGTTACTTAATGGTTCTGAAAATCAAAATAACTGTGGGAGACATCCAAACACCACAGATCTCTCTTGTACCCACATATACAAACAGTGCAAAGATCGAGAGAAGATAAACATTCCTATTTTCCCATGCAACTCAGTGGCTGGGAAATAGCCTACTGGCAGTGCTCCCACCTTGCAAACAGAACTCTCCAGGTTCAGGAACAAAAATGTTAAAATCAGCTGGAAAAACAGGGGAGGGAGAGGCACCTTCCATTAATGAAGTGATTCAGGTTTCTGATATTTCCGATCTTTTTTTCAAGAAAATTTCAGAAATCATTTCAAAATCGAATCGCCAATGCCCCCTACATCCGAAATGAGTTTTGAACCTTTTTTTTTTTTTGATCAACCAAGCCTACTAGAAATATTTGGACCCTGTGCCTCAAGGACAACACAGGCTAAGAACAGATCCTGGTCTGGGAAAGGGGCACTTTCCCCACTCAAGGCCACAATTCCTGAAAGCCCCTGCTTCTTTGGCTACCAGCCAGAAATTCTAGGGACCCACGTTAGGAAGATTCGCCTGAACACCAGGGAGAACTTTTCTGACTATATGAGCTGTTCAGCAGTGGAACTCTCTGCCTCAGAGTGGGGTGGAAGCTCATTCCTTGGAAACTTTCAAGCAGAAGCTGGATGACCATCTGTCAGGGATGCTTATGCTTTTCATGTATGGCAAGGGGTTTGGACTGGATGGCCCATGGGGTCTCTTCCAACTCTTACTATTCTATCTTCCAGTACTCTCTGCTTCAGAGTGTAGTGGAAGCTCTTTCCTTGTAGGCTTTTAAACAGAGGCTGGATGGCCATCTGTCAGGAATGCTTTGTGCTCTTCCTACATGGCAGGGGTTGGACTAGATGGCCCATATGGTCTCTTCCAAATCTATGATTCTATGTATGTTTGGGGAGTCCTGCCTTGTCTCCAGGACCCCCAAGACCCTACCGTGGTTGCCTCAGGCTTTGACAGGATGAGGGGTCTGATTAAGAAAGGTGAATATTCTGAATTCAAACAGTAGGGCCTGAGACAAAGCGAGAATGGGAAAAATCCCAAGCCAGAAGGAAGGTTTAGTCAAAGGTTCCTCGTCAAAGCAACAAAAGGAAGGTGACAGATGAAAGAGGAGACAGTTCACAAAAAGCTTGAAGACCTGCAAGCAGGAAGAGGAGAGGGATTCGTTTGTTGTTGAATTGCTGTTGTGAAGAGCTGATACGGGGGGCACCAAGGGAAGGAGAAAGAGGGATGTGAAGGAAAACTGTGTGTGCAAGCTTTGAAACTCTTTAACTATACAACCCCTGGAGGCCAGGGAGAATGTGAGGCCAAGAGAGGCTGGGGGTCAAGGCCTGGGAGGGTCCTCACCTTCTTCTTGGCCTTCCCTCCGGACTTGTTGACGGGGTCCTTGTCCTTCTTGGCCGACTTGCCCGCATCCTTCTTCTTCTTGTCGTCCTTGGGTGGCTGAGGAGAAGAGGAAGAGAAGTAGTGAGGCCTACTACTACTACAGAGCTGAGGCCTACAACTAGAATTATTTATCTGAGAAGTCTATATCCGGGCACAGAGCTACCGCAGAACAAAAAAGCATACAGCACAACCCACAGAATCATAAACATTTGCAGCAGGAAACACAATTAAAATCATATCAACATTAAAGGCCAACTACTATTATTTATTAACGACATTTATATGCCGCCGTTCTCACCTCGAAAGGGACTCAGAGCGGCTTACAAGATATAAATACATACAATATATTATATGATTAGCATAGTACAATATCAGTATTATATATTTATTTATTTATTTATTATTTATTATTTGCACTTATTGACCGCCACTCTCAGCCCTAGGGCGACTCGTGGCGGTGAACAACAACATGGAAAAGACAGTATACAGCAAATCACGACAACACATACCAAATTACATATTACTATGTTGTACTGTACAATTATATTACTACTACAAAAGTGAAGCCTATTACTACTACAGAGGCGAGGACTGCTACTACTACAAGCCTATTACTACTACACACAAGGGTTGCTACTAGTAATACACAAGTGATGCCTACAACTACTATACTACAGGCTTATTACTACAACACACGAGGGCTACTACTACACAAGTGAGGTCTACAGGCCTATACTACTATACGTGAGGACTGCTACGACTATGGAGGTGAGGCCTACTACTACTACTACAGGTCTATCACTTCTAGTAGAATTGTAGTAGAATTGCTGCTGCTACAGAAGTGAGGCCTACTACTACTACACGTGAGGACTGCTACTACTACAGGACTATTACTACTACACATGAGGGCTGCTACTAGTATTACATAAGTGACACCTACAACTACTACAAGCCTATTACTACTACACAAGTGAGGTCTATTACTACTACAGGCCTATACTACTACACACGAGAATTGTTACTACTACAGAAGTGAGGCTTATTACTACTACACACGAGGGCTGCTAGCACTACAACTACACAAGTGAACCCTATTACTATATTGTTGTATTACTACTACACGTGAAGACTGCTACCACTACTAAGGCCTACTACTACTACAGGCCTATTACTACTATTATTACACGTGAAAATTGCTACTACTACAGAAGTGAGGCCTATTACTACTAGACGTGAGGGCTGCTACTACTACAGGCCTATTGCTACTACTACGTGTGAAAATTGCTACTACTACAGAAGTGAGGCATATTACTACTACACGTGAGGGCTGCTACTACTACCACTACTACAGAGGTGAGGCCTACTACTACTACTACAGGCCTATTACTACTACACACGAGGGCTACTACAGAAGTGAGGGTTATTACTACTACACGTGAGGACTACTACTTCTACAGAGGTGAGGCCTACTACTACTACAGGCCTATTACTACTACTACACGTGAGGGCTGCTACTACTACTACTACTACTACACAAGTGAGGCCTACTCCTACTACTAGGACGAAGCCTACTACTCGCTTTCCCTCTCCTTGGGGCCTACCATGGCGGCGAAGGCGAGGTCTGGAGAAGAGCGGCTGCTCCTTCAGCGGCTTCCGGCCAGAAAGGAAGGCGCGGCGTGGGACAGGGCAGGAAACCCCGTCGGAAAAGGGCCCACTTCCTGTGCTGGCGCCGGAAGGGGCGGGGCCTCTCTAGGAAGCGGAAGTGGCGGCGGCGGGAGCAGCAACATCAACATCCGGTGTCCCCCTCCTAAAGGGCCCGCTTCCGGTGCGGGCGCCGGAAGGGGCGGGGCCTCTCGCGGAAGCGGAAGTAGCTTGAGCAGCATCAACATCCGGGCTCCCCCTCCCTCAGCTGGGCCATGGCCATCTTCAGCGTGTTCGTGGTGAACAAGGCGGGCGGGCTGGTCTACCAGCTGGAGCACTACGCCCCGCGCGCCGAGGCCGAGAAGACCTTCTCCTTCCCGCTCGAGCTCGTCCTCCGCCCGCACGACGAGCGCCTCCTCGTCGCCTTCGGGCAGCGCGACGGCATCCGCGGTGAGGCCTAGCTCCCTCCCCCCCCCTTGGACTCCAACTCCCACCATTCCCAGCAGCCTCCCTCAGGCCCCTTGGACTCCAACTCCAATCATTCCCAACAGCCTCCCTCAGGCCCCTTGGACTCCAACTCCCACCATTCCCAGCAGCCTCCCTCAGGCCCCTTGGACTCCAACTCCAATCATTCCCAACAGCCTCCCTCAGGCCCCTTCCTTTTCCCCCTCAGCCGCTTAAGCGGAAAGGGCCTGAGGGAGGCTAGGACGCAAGGGAGGAATGGCTTCAAACTACAAGAGAGGAGAATCCTAGAATCCTAGAGTTGGAAGAGACCTCCTGGGCCATCCAGTCCAACCCCATTCTGTCAAGAAGCAGGAATATTGCATTCAAAGCACCCCTGACAGATGGCCATCCAGCCTCTGTTTAAAAGCTTCCAAAGAAGGAGCCTCCACCACACTCGGGGCAGAGAGTTCCACTGCTGAACGGCTCTCACAGTCAGGAAGTTCTTCCTCATGTTCAGATGGAATCTCCTCTCTTGTAGTTTGAAGCCATAGTTCCATGCGTCCTAGTCTCCAGGGAAGCAGAAAACAAGCTTGCTCCCTCCTCCCTGTGGCTTCCTCTCACATATTTATACATGGCTATCATATCTCCTCTCAGCCTTCTCTTCTTCAGGCTAAACATGCCCAGCTCCTTAAGCCGCTCCTCATAGGGCTTGTTCTCCAGACCCTTGATCAGCTCCCTCCTCCCTGTGGCTTCCTCTCACATATTTATACATGGCCCTCATCATATCTCCTCTCAGCCTTCTCTTCTCCAGGCTAAACATGCCCAGCTCCTTAAGCCGCTCTTAACATTCCAGCTTGTCAATGTCTCTCTTGAATTGTGGTGCCCAGAATTGGACACAATATTCCAGGTGTGGTCTAACCAAGGTGGAATAGAGAATGGGGAGCATGACTTCCCTGGATCTAGACACTAGGCTCCTATTGATGCAGGCCAAAATCCCATTGGCTTTTTTTGCCGCCACATCACATAGTTGGCTCATGTTTAACTTGTTGTCCACGAGGACTCCAAGATCTTTTTCACACGTACTGCTCTCGAGCCAGGCATTGTCCCCCATTCTGTATCTTTGCATTTCGTTTTTCCTGCCAAAGTGGAGTATCTTGCATTTGTCACTGTTGAACTTCATTTTGTTAGCTATGATGGGAGTTGGAGTCCAAAAGAATTAGAGGAGGGCCAAGGTTGGCCCAGGCCTATTCTCAGCTTTCGCATTGTAATATTTAGGTGTTGACATTTTAATTTTTGTGATATCACTGTTTAATTGTCATGGTTATGTTTTATTATTCCGGCATTGAATGTTTGCCGTTGCGCCCCTGAGTCCCCACAGGGAGATAAGGCAGGATATAAATAAAGTATTATTATTATTTTATTGTTTATTATTTGATCAATTCGTTGTTTATTCCATTATTTATTATTTGCTCTATTTGGTGTTTATTTTCTTGCTTATGATTTGATCTATACACAACATACAAACAATCTCCAGATCCAGCAAGAAAATCCAACAAATGCTACGTTCAGCAAAGGACAAGAGGGATCCTCTCACCTCTGCAGGAGTCTACCGTATACCATGCAGCTGTGGACAAGTCTACATAGGGACCACCAAACGCAGCAGCATTGCCCAAACACGAATCAAGGAACATGAAAGGCACTGCAGACTACTTCAACCAGAGAAGTCAGCCATAGCAGAGCACCTGATGAACCAACCTGGACACAGCATATTATTTGAGAACACAGAAATGCTGGACCACACCAACAACCACCATGTCAGACTACACAGAGAAGCCATTGAAATCCATAAGCATGTGGACAATTTCAACAGAAAGGAGGAGACCATGAAAATGAACAAAATCTGGCTACCAGTATTAAAAAACTCTAACATTACAACAGCAAAACAGCAGAGAGGAAACAACCAGGCACATCTTAACACCTCTCAACAGAACATTTTCCCAGGCTCAGCCAGGCCTTCAAATGCTAATGAAGGTGGTCAGCTGAAACATTCACACCTAGCTTCAGCGGAGAGCTCTTTGCCCCACCCCAGTCATTCCACAGATATATAAACCCATTTTCCTATTTCCAACAGACCTCACTACCTCTGAGGATGCTTGCCATAGATGCAGGCGAAACGTCAGGAGAAATGCCTCTAGAACATGGCCATATAGCCCGAAAAAACCCACAAGAACCTAGTGATCTTTCTTGCATTGCCGCAATTCTCTTATTCATGGCAGTTAAAATAGTATTGTCGAAGCTTTCATGGCCGGAATCACTGGGTTGTTGTAGGTTTTTTTCGGGCTATATGGCCATGTTCTAGAGGCATTCTCTCCTGATGTTTCGCCTGCATCTATGGCAAGCATCCTCAGAGGTAGTGCTCACTACTCTGAGGATGCTTGCCATAGATGCAGGCGAAATGTCAGGAGAAAATGCCTCTAGAACATGGCCATATAGCCCGAAAAAAACCTACAACAACCCAGTGATTCTGGCCATTGTTTATGTTTATCTATTTATTTTTTATTTATTTTATTGCTTATGGATTGATCTAGGAGCCCCCGGTGGCGCATTGGGTTTAACCCTTGTGCCAGCAGGTCGCAGGTTCAAATCCAGTGAGAGCGCGGATGAGCTTCCTCTCCAGCTCCTCATGCAGGGACATGAGAGGATGTCCCTGCATGATAAAAAAACATCAAAACATCCGGGCGTTCCTGGGCAACGTCCTTGCAGACAGCCAATTCTCTCACACCAGAAGTGACTTGCAGTTTCTCAAGTCGCTCCTGACACGACAAAAAAAATCTATTTGTTATTTATTTATTTTATTGTTTATGATTTGATCTATTTCTTATGTTATGCCAGTATTGAATGTTTGCCAGTTTTCTCTTGTAAACCACCCTGAGTCCCCTCGAGGAGATAGGCCGCTATAGAAATAAATATTGTTATTATGGTAGAATCCAGAATATCAGTATCTGCTTTGAACTGGTTTATCTTGAGTCCGCACTGCCATATAACCCAGGACCCTTCCACATAGCCCTATAACCCAGAATTTCAAGGCAGATCATCCACAATATCTGCTTTGAACTGGGTTTTCTGAGTCCGCACTGCCATATTGTTTTGTATTGTCTTTTATATAATGATGTAAGCCACTTTGGGTCCCATTTAGGAAGAAAAGCAGGATATAAATAAAAATTTATTATTATTATTATTATTACATAATTCAAAGCAGATAGTGTGGGATTTTATACAGCTGTGTGGAAGGGGCCCCAGTTCAAAGCAGATATTTTGGTATTTTCTGCCTTGATATTCTGGGTTATATGGCTATGTGGAAGGGCCGTCAGGCAATCGTATCATGGGGTTTTCTGAGGCAGTTTACGCCCCCTCCACACAGCTGTATAAATCCCACATTATCTGTTTTGAACTGGGTTATATGGCAGTGTGGACTCAGATAACCATGGCCCGTTGTGGCCGCCGCAAACTAGGTGGAATGGGTTGAGACTCGATGATGAGGGATTCATCAGAAAAGTGTAGCAAAATGTGCTAGAGCAGGATTTCCTAAAAAAACAAAGTTTTTTCTGTTTAATAAAATGTTCTGCATTTTTTGGATAGAGCCAATTAGGAAATTACATTGATAACCCAGGAACAAAAATCGTGTTGCATAGTGTTATTATTCCAGGGAAGGCCTGACCAAAGCAGAACAGAGTGGGGCTGTGACTTCCTGTGGTTCTTGATGCGACCTGAAATTGTGTTGGACTTTTGAGCTGCTGTGTCACGCTGTGGTCTCACATCCCATTGTCTCCATTCCTTCTGTAGTGGGACATGCAGTGCTGGCCATCAACGGGGCAGAGGTGAGCGGGCGCTTCACGGCCGATGGGAAGGACGTCCTGGAGTTCCTGGCCAACCCAGCCAACTACCCGGTCTCCATCCGCTTTGGCCGCCCGCGCCTCTCCTCCAATGAGAAGCTCATGCTGGCCTCCATGTTCCACTCGTGAGTCAAATGGAAGTGCATAGGGAGGGAGGAAAGCCGTGATTTGCGCACAGAGCCAGAGGCGACCCCTCTTCCTCCTTCTTTGCTCCCTCCACAGGTTGTTTGCCATCGGGTCCCAGCTCTCTCCAGAGCCCGGCAGCTCGGGCATCGAGATGCTGGAGACGGACACCTTCAAGCTCCACTGCTTCCAGACCCTGACAGGTATCTTCCCCATTGAAAGCTTGTGGACTACCTGAAACATGGGGAGTCCTCTGTGCCCCTCTCTCCATAGGTCACCTTGCAAAACATCTGTTTTGGGACCCACAACCAGTCCTGGAGACTCTAATGTGTTCATTCATACACACACAATATATATAGCAGTCCCCAAACCAAGAGGAAGATAGGCTCTGTAGGTTTGTTTTTAGGTTGAACTAGCTGTCCCCTGCCATGCGTTGCTGTGGCCCAGTCTGTGTATATGTGTTTTGTGTGTGTATATATGAGTATATGTATGTATATATGTGTGTATGTATGTGGTTTTGTGCATGTGTTGTTATGCATCTTTTTTTGTTTTTTGGCTTTTTAAGTCTCATCTGCTGTGCTTTTCAGTGTTTTTATGAGTGATGGTCACTCGTTGGCCTGATAGGTGCATTGTGTCCAGATTTGGTGTCATTTCGTCCAGTGGTTTTTGAGTTATATTAATCCCACAAACGAACATTACATTTTTATTTATATAGAAGATGTGGTTTTGTGCATGCGCTGTAGTGTTTCTTGGCTTTTTAAGTGTCTTCTGCTGTGTTTTTCAGTGTTTTTATGAGTGATGGTCACTTGTTGGCCTTATCTATAATGTGTCCAAATTTGGTGTCATTTTGTCCAGTGGTTTTTGAGTTATGTTAATCCCACAAACAAACAATGCATTTTTATTTATATAGATTTGTTGGAACATGTACAGTTTTAAAGTGCAACTCCAGCCATGTGTGTGTGTGTGTGTGTGTGTGTGTGTGTGTGTGTGTGTGTGTGTGTATATATATATATACATACAGAGAGAGAGAGAACGAACGAGCATGCTTTGGATAGCATAGGGAAGGGTTAACACCACTGTGGTGTTTCCTTTGCTGTCTTTTCCCCATTCAGAAGATTTCTCCTCCCTTTCTGCCCCTGTGGTCATTGGATTTTGGAAATATGACTTGTGGAAACAAGGATCAGAGAGAGATCTTTAGTGGAAACCCTTTTCCTCCATGATAATAACTCGGGAGTGAATATTCCTTCTTTTACTTCTTGTTGTCTCACCATCGTTCTTAACTGTGAGTTATTACTGGACCTGGAAGAGTGGGGCCATTGATAGTTTCGCCTGTATGGATCTCTTCCAGGTTTGACCAGTTGGACAGCAAACGTATTCTCCCAGTAAGCTAATAAGCAGTCTAGACATGTGCCGTTCTGGATCTGTATTAAGAACAGTGATGATCGCATCTCTAAATTTACTGTAAACGTGGCAGTGGAAACAGAAACAATCCTGATGTGATTCCATCTTTTTGTTTGCCTTCTATTGCCACTGTTGGAGACGGAAGCATATTATGAAATAGCAAAGAAGTTATTCTGCAGCTCAGTTTCTAAACTACACAAAACCAGGAGTGGGTTCAGTTCTATTGAACTAAAACTGACACACTTGTGTTTAGTGAGCCAAGGGGAACATGGCTTGTAGGATCCATGATATTGTGCCTTGATGGTATGGATACTGCAGTCCGTGTTCCCCAAAATATTCTACCTTTTTGTTTGGAAAACTCATGCACGTTTTCAGTCCAACTGTTTCCATCGCTTTGCATGAGCCGTGTCCCAACACTTCCTGTTGTCTCTTCAGGGATCAAGTTTGTGGTGCTTGCTGACCCCAGGCAGTCAGGGATAGATGCCCTCCTGCGCAAGATCTACGAGATCTATTCCGACTTTGCGCTGAAGAACCCTTTCTACTCTTTGGAGATGCCGATCAGGTAGGAATCCGCTCTAGATCTCCATCACTCCTGAAATACTGACGCATTTCTAAAGTGTGTGGCTTTGTTAGGCTATAACTAAGATTCCATGTAAAATCTAGTGCACGTGTGCCAAAGTCAAGGCTGATAGGCCAAATCCATCCCACCATGTGCTTTTATCTTCTGCCAACCTAGCAGTTCGAAAACATGCAAATGTGAGTAGATCAATAGGTACCGCTCTGGCGGGAAGGTAACGGCGCTCCATGCAGTCATGCTAGCCACATGACCTTGGAGGTGTCTACGGACAACGCCGGCTCTTCGGCTTAGAAATGGAAATGAGCACCACACCCCAGAGTCAGACATGACTGGACTTAATGTCAGGGGACTACCTTTACCTTTACCTATGTGCTTTTATGAGGCCCTCCAGATGCTGGACTCCCAACTCCTGTATTCCTCATTATTGGGTATCATGAGGAGAGCTGGGATACAGCAACATCTGGAAGGCTGCAGTTGGTTCTGTTTAGTCAGGAAAGAGCGGTTTGATTTTAGATCCAAAGCTTGCAGATATGATGCTTGACTTTAAAATGCATTTAACCTTTCCCCAAACTTGGAGCCACAAGGGCTGTTGGGTTATAATTACCATTATTGGTAACTGTAACCCAACAGATGTTGGTTTGTATTGTTTCTATTATGGTTTTATGCTGTTTTAATGTTTAATTTTTATTTTGTAATTATGTGTACTGACTTGTAATCTACCTTGAGTCGCCAATAAGGCTGAGAAAGGCGGTTTACAAGTATAGTAAATAAATAAATAAATAAATAAATATTATCCTTACATGGCAGATAACCAAACGTGATGGGCACTGTCATTCAATAACACTTGAGGACCCAAACTGGGTGAAAAGTAAAGAGAATCAACCATTATGTAAAAATAATTACATTCGGCCTCTTCTCTCTGTCTCCATGGATCCAACGGTCCTTTGAAGGCAGCCCTAATGAGGCTGATGAGGCCCTCAGTGGAAATGAGGCATGAAGGTGATGCACGTTCCCACTGTGCTTTTGAACTTCAGCATGTTGCTGGGAATTTCATATTTCAGGAAACCTTAGTGGTGTTGCCAGGTTTTCTCCCATTGAGCTAGTTTATTTTCAACCTGAATTTTGGAGGAAGGCACCTAGGGAGCTTGCCAGTCAGTATACCTTTGTGGAGCATGAATGCCACCATCCCCGCTTTTCCCCTTTGACTATTTCAGGTGCGAGCTCTTTGACCAGAACCTGAAATTAGCCCTTGAAGTAGCAGAGAAAGCAGGACCCTTTGGGCCAGGATTATAGGATATTTCTGTTGGACTTTCACCTGATGGACTTTCCTGGGAATCGCTGCCTCTTGGGACAGAGGTCAAGGCCCAGTTCTGGAGGCCTGAAACCACCATTGTTGTGTTGATGGGCCTTCAACCACAGGAGAGAGCAGCCGACTGGCGCCTCAGGAGCAGAAAAGGTGGCTGCACAACTTCTTAAATATGTACATTCTAGATGTATATGATATATGTGTGTCTGTTATATTGTACTATTAATTTAAGACTGGAATATTATGCCTTGTTTGTGGAAATGAAGCATTTTGCAATGGAGGTGTGGGAATTGATTTCTGAACAGTTGATATACCATCTGTTGGCTCAGTATCCAGGAAGCATGGCCACAAGTGGAATACTCTGTAGGAGGGAAGGAGGTGTTTACATTATTGTCCTTTATTTCAGTCAGTGAACACTCGTCACAGTTTGCAACCTGAGCCAAGGATTTTGGCAGTCTGGGTGTTCATAGCTGCATGATTGTCTTCGTGGTTTGGCCCTCCAAGTGTTTGGGCCTCCAACTCCCAAAAGCCCCTCCTTCCAGCTTGTTCAGCGGTCAGGAATTCTGGGAGCTGAAGTCCAAAACACATGGAAGGCCACATGTTTTGGAGGCCTGGTCTAGAACTTCTCCTATGTCCTCATTATTAAAGGAGGTGATTAAGGGGAGGCAGTGATACTTCTGGTGAAATCATCCATGTGACTTCAGTTCCAGCTCCAGAACTATATAAGCCATGTCCCACATTCTCATAGCTACAACTGGAAGGTCACAGAACACCACATTTCCCTCTTCTGTGATTTGACGTGAATTCAAATACGGCTCAAGCCTTGGAACACAAGGAGGGAAGCGTCCTGCAGACACACATCTTGACACTTTGCTGGTGAGGAGGGTCTGGTGCTGCGTTCCAGACAAAGGCAGCAGTTTGTGTGGCTTCTCTCCGGAAGTGGCAGCTCAGGACAAGGGAGGAAAGCACTTTGTAGCCCACCCGTTAGGTCCAAAACATGATGGGCTCGGTATGTTGTATTAGAAGCAGGAAATGGACGTCTGGCCAGAGGATGAAAGCGGTGTCGCAGTATGAGTGGCTAGCCCTGCCTCTGACGTCAGGATGTTTGTAAAATCCCATGATTGCAGCAGGAGGCTCCTCCGCAGCCAAGTGACGGCCACCGCGGTTGCACTTCAGTCAGCCTTCTTTGGCAGGCGCCCCATCTTGGTGCGGATGTTCCTCAGGAGGAAGAAGGCCAGGGTGCTGGCCATGCAGGTCACCTCCGCCACCCAGAAGGCCGTGCCCCAGCTGTAGTGCTTGGCAATGGTGCTGAAAGGCAGCCCGGCCAGGAAGCCCCCGACTGCAAGGAGAAAGAAAGGGTCAAAGGGGCAGTGGAGCGGCAAGGCCACCCCGTTTAGTCCTCAGCCTGGTGCTCCACTCACCGTTTGCCATCAAGGCGACGATGGCGTGAGAGGTCCCGCACAGGTTTGACGGCGCGCTTTCGTTGGCGATGACTCCGAACAGCGCGATTGGTCCGTAAGAGCAAAACCCAAAGACGGCTCCTAAGAGCAGGATCCAGACCTAGAAAAACAAGGGTGGAAGAAAAGTCAGGAATACACTGGGCTGAGGAACAGCCTCCTCCTATCTACTTGTGATGCGGCAGCTAAAAAGCCAATGGGATTTTGTCCTGCATCAAGAGGAGTCTAATGCCTAGATCCAGGGAAGTCATGCTCCCCATGCTCTATTCTGCCTTGGTCAGACCACATCTGGAATCACACTGGGTCCCATTCTGGGCACCGCAATTGAAGGGAGATGTTGACTCTAAGCTGGAATGTGTCCAGAGGAGGACAACTCAAAGGATCAAGGGTCTGGAGAACAAGCCCTATGAGGAGCGGCTTAAGGAGCTGGGCATGTTTAGCCTGAAGAAGAGAAGGCTGAGAGGAGATATGATAGCCATGTATAGATATGTGAGAGGAAGTCACAGGGAGGAGGGAGCAAGCTTCCTTTCTGCTTCCCTGGAGAGAGAGTAGGACGCAATGGCGCAATGGCTTCAAGCTACAGGAAAGTTAGGAGATTCCACCTGAACATGAAGAACTTTCTGACTGTGAGAGGTGTTTAGCAGTGGAACTCTCTTCCTCAAAGTGTGGTGGAGGCTCCATCTTTGGAGGCTTTGAAACAGAGGCTGGATGGCTATCTGTTGGGGGTGCTTTGAATGTGGTTGTCCTGCTTCTTGGCAGAAGGGGGTTGGACTGGATGGCCCACTCCATAATTCTATGACTTGTCACCTGCCTCGTAGTCAGGCGGCACTACAATCTATTTTATCTCTGCAGCCCCATTGTCTCTTGCTCGTTGGTGATACGGTTAGTTAGGTTAGGAACAAAAACAGCAACAATTCCTATGACGAGAAGCTTGCTATGACGGCGATGTTAATATGTGTGTTACAATCCCAGGCACAGGTAACATGCAGACTTGGGAGCCTCTCACTTGGTGGTTTGATGGCATTCCTAAGGAAAGACGTCTCTCAATACTAGTTCCCCGGCAGGTATAACACAAAGGCATTTCAGCAGGTTTGCAACTAGAACTACTCCATGTATTGGACACAAAGCAGAAGAGGAGAGCGACAGGGAGGGCTAGCTTCTACAGAGGTTCAAGGGTCTGCCGCTAACAAGTGGAGAAGCCAGAAGCAGAGAGGAAAGCAGGATAGAGACCTCGTGTTCTGTTAAGCCCACAAGGTTAGCAAGAGGGTGGAGGGCTACAATCCAAGGGTCGCTGCTGTCCTGAGAAAGAGAGAAGGAAACAGTGAGCAAGTGGCATTCAGAAAGCTTCAGGAAGGGAGAAAAAGAGGCCCGCTCGAACAACCATCACCAGCACTGCCTTAAGTACCCGCCTCCCTCGGCCTCCGCTGCAGCCCACAATATTATTATTGTTTGTTCACACCCTGCTTTTCTCTCCATAAGGAGACTCAAGGCTGCTTTCAGACCCATAACCCACCCTGATGGCCGCTAGAGCCCAGAGGCAAGCTCCTCGCTCCTTTCTTGGGTGTCTGGGGACTTCTATCACAAGTGAATTCAACTTTCATTGCAATCATAGAAGCCGCCCTAACTGTGGAGCAGAGAAACAGAAGAGCCCATAGAGAGGCTGCATCTTGATGCCTCCAAAGCTGGAAAATACGCCCCATTCAAGTGGGCAAACTTATTGATCGTATTTTAGGCCAAGCTCGTCACCAAGATGCACAGGCGGCTCTTTTCCATTCCTCCCCACCCCCACCTTGAATCCTCCTGTACGTATTCTTCCCAATTCTCCAACGCTCAGGGCTGTGTGCCGCTCTTCCGAGGCTTACCTTGGGAGAGCTGCCTGTGACCGTGACCCGGAAGAGGTACATCGAGGCCGACATGCCCGCCATCATGCAGAGCAGAAGGGCGTGCCGAGGGTTTCCGTAGACGGACAGGCCCACCTGCAACACACACACAAGGGGACACAAAGGCTGGGGTTTACTCCTCAAAAGAAAATAACCCTAATAATAAATTTAATTATCGTATCAGTATCAACCAGACAATTGTATTACATTTTTAACAAATTTTTAACAAACAGACAAAACACAGAATTTGCAAGCTTGGTAGTTGATTAAATGTCCTTTGCCCAGTATCTGGCCCCTTGGAGTGCCTCTGGTGTTGCTGCAAGAAGGTCCTCCCTTGTGCATCATGTGGCAGGGCTCAGGGTGCATTGCAGCAGGTGGTCAGTGGTTTGTTCTCCACACTCGCATGTCATGGATTCCACTTTGTGGCCCCATTTCTGAAGGTTGGCTCTGCATCTTGTGGTGCCAGAGCGCAGTCTGCTCAGCGCCTTCCAAGTCACCCAGTCCTCTGTGTGCCCAGGGGGAGTCTCTCATTTGGTATCAGCCATTGGTTAAGGTTCTGGGTTTGAGCCTGCCACTTTTGGACTCTCAATGTAATTTCTCCAGTGGTGTAGGGCACAGACATGCCGTGATAATGTGGCATGTCTAATTAAGAACCACATCCACTGTTTTAGCGTGGTGAGATGTGTTCCACACTTGGCATGCATACAGAAGTAACCCGAAATTAATAATAATAATAATAATAATAATAATAATAATAATAATAATAATAATCATCTTTATTTAATACCCCGCCACCATCTCTCCGATGGAAACTCGGGGTGGCTTACATGAGGCCAACAGGCACTGCAAACTACTCCAACCAGAGAAGTTAGCCATAGCAGAGCACCTGATGAACCAACCTGGACACAGCATATTATTTGAGAACACAGAAGTGCTGGACCACTCCAACAACCACCATGTCAGACTACACAGAGAAGCCATTGAAATCCACAAGCATGTGGACAATTTCAACAGAAAGGAAGAAACCATGAAAATGAACAAAATCTGGCTACCAGTATTAAAAAAAACTCAAAAATTACAGCAGCAAAACAACAGAGGGGAAACAAACAGGCACATGAAATCACTCTCAACAAAAGATTCCCCCCAGGCGCTTCCAAGCCATTGAATGCAAATCAAGGTGATCAGCTGAAACATTCACAGCTAGCCCCAGCAAACAAAAGTCCTTTGTCTCACCCTGGTCATTCCACAGATATATAAACCCATTTTTCCTAGTTCCAACAGACCTCACTACCTCTGAGGATGCTTGCCATAGATGCAGGCGAAACGTCAGGAGAAAAATTGCCTCCAGAACATGGCCATATAGCCCGGAAAAACCTACAACAACCCATGGATTCCAGCCATGAAAGCCTTCGACAATACATAGAATCTATATAAATAAAAATGTAATGTTTGTTTGTGGGATTAACAGAACTCAAAAACCACTGGACGAATTGGCACCAAATTTGGACATAATGCACATATCAGGCCAACAAGTGACCATCACTCATAAAAACACTGAAAAATACAGCAGAGGGACTTTAAAAGCCAAAAGCCAAAAAATACATTGCAAAGCATGCACAAAACCACATATATATACACAAACACACATATACACAAATATATACACACACAAAACATCTACACAGACTGGGCCACAGCAATGTGCGGTAGGGGACAGCTAGTATTACAATAAAATAAAACCAAAACACAATAACAACACAGTAAAATACATACAACATATGCGTACAAAAAAAAACTACAATTAAGCAAAATCATACACAACCACAACAACAATTTTTATTGATTACCCAATTGGCCTTATCAAAAACAAACAGTGCAGACACAACATACAACATACATCTAGTCCTCTTAAAATAAAATACAGGAGCAAAATCATACACAATAAAATAACAATGAGCGGGCTGCATGTGCAAGATAAAAAACTAAAATACTAAAATCAGGATGAGACCGGGATGGAGCAGGTTGCTTGTGAGGGAGAAACTCATAAAGGAACAAGGTCATAAAAAAGCCTTTATTGTGGCAAGACTGCTCTTAGGCCTACTTTCTCTGCGCAAACTTTGGAAACTACAGGTTTCCTGATCAGGGAGAGGCGATTTTTAAAAAGTAAGCATGGGAAGGCAAGAGGTAGCATAAGACATATTGCAAGCACTTAGGGCCTATTCCACGGCTATATGGGTAGCCAGGGAGACCTTCACGACTGCCTGTATAGCGTCTGCATCTAATAGATCTTCGGAGTTGTTTCGGGTCGTTGGGGAACTTCTTCACCCCCCTGAGGTGGAGGAGACCTTTGATGACCCGAGAACTCGGTGCTGCGAATTTGTGCAGCACTTTGCAGACAAAGTTGCTCAGATACATCGTGAGCTGGACTCCAGTTTGATCACAGTTCCAAGAGAGGTGACCGAGGCATCTGCTTGTCCAGTTTTGTGGGATTCCTTCCGGCTTGTGTGTCCTGAGGAGGTGGCCCTCGGGGCAGTGAGAGCTACTACATCGGCTCTAGACCCTTGCCCATCTTGGCTAATTAAATCAGCCAGGGATGGTTTGATTGATTGGTTTATGTTAATCATTAACAGATCGTTGGAGCAAGGAATTTTTCCATCAGGCTTAAAACAGGCTGTGGTTAGACCACTCCTGAAAAAGACTTCCCTTAATTCCACGATCTTAAACAACTATAGACCAATCTCCAACCTCCTTTTTCTGGGCAAGGTGTTGGAGCAGGTGGTTGATGCTCATCTCCACGGCTTCCTGGATGACATCAACTACCTGGACCAGTCACAGTCTGGTTTTGGGCCTGGCCACGGCACCGAGACGGCTTTAGTCGTCTTGGTGGATGACCTCCGTAGAGAGCTGGACAGGGGGAGTGTGACTCTGTTGGTTCTCTTGGACATCTCAGCGGCTTTCGATACCATCGATCATGATACCCTTCTGGGACGCCTCTCTGAGATGGGCCTTGGAGGTTCGGCTCTGTCGTGGCTCCGGTCCTTCCTGGAGGGTTGATCCCAGATGGTGAAACTGGGAGACGCCTGCTCAGACCCCTGGCCTTTGACCTGTGGGGTCCCGCAAGGCTCTATTCCAGTGTTTCTCAACCTGGGGGTCGGGACCCCTGTGGGGGTTGCGAGGGGGTGTCAGAGGGGTCGCCAAAGACCATCAGAAAACATAGTATTTTCTATTGGTCATGGGGGTTCTGTGTGGAAAATTTGGTCCAGTTCTATCGTTGGTGGGGTTCAGAATGCTATTTTATTGTGGGTAAACTATAAATCCCAACAACTACAACTCTCAAATGGCAAGGTCTATTTTCTCCAAACTCTACTAGTGTTCACATTTGGGCATATTGAATATTTGTGCCAAGTTTGATCTAGATCCATCGTTGCTCGAGTCCACAGTGTTCTCTCGATGTAGGTGAACTACAACTCCAAAAACTCAAGGTCAGTGTCCACCAGACCTTCTCAGTATTTTCTCTTGGTCATGGGAATTCTGTGTGCCAAGTTTGATTCAATTCCATCATTGGTGGGGTTCAGAAGGCGCTTTGATTTTAGGTGAACTATAAATCCCAGCAACTCCAGCATTACCAAATGACAAAATCAATCACCCCCAACCCCACCAATATTCAAATTTGGGGGTATTGGGTATTTGTGCCAAATTTGGTCCAGTGAATGAAAATACATCCTGCATATCCTGTTACGATTCATAACAGTAGCAAAATTACAATTATGAAGTAACAACGAAAATAACGTTATGGTTGGGGGTCACCACAACATGAGGACCTGTACTAAGGGGTCACGGCATTAGGAAGGTTGAGAACCACTGCTCTATTCTGTCTCCCATGCTTTTTAACATCTACATGAAACTGCTGGGAGAGGTCATCCGGAGTTTTGGAGTTGGGTGCCATCCCTATGCAGATGACACGCAACTCTACTACTCCTTTCCACCTAACTCCAAGGAAGCCCCTCGGGTGCTGGACGAGTGCCTGGCCGCTGTGGCTATCTGGATGAGGACGAACAAGCTGAAGATTAATCCCGACAAGACAGAGGTCCTCCTGGTCGATCGTAAACCGGACCGGGGTATAGGGTGGCAACCTGTGCTAGACGGGGTTGCACTCCCCCTGAAGTCGCAGGTCCGCAGTTTGGGGGTCCTCCTGGATTCTTCACTTACGTTTGAGGCTCAGGCGTCAGTGGTGGCTGGGAGGGCCTTTGCACAATTAAGACTCGTGCGCCAACTGCAACCGTACCTCGGGAAGGCGGATCTGGCCAAAGTGGTCCATGCCTTAGTCACCTCTAGACTGGATTACTGCAATGCACTCTACGTGGGGCTGCCCTTGAAAACGGCCCGGAAATTTCAGATGATCCAACGGGCGGCAGCCAGGCTGTTAACTGGGGCGCCTTACAGAGAGCGGTCAACCCTCCTGTTCAGGAGCTCCACTGGCTGCCATTCATTTTCCGGTCCCAATTCAAGGTGCAGGTTCTTACCTATAAAGCCCTGAACGGTTTGGGACCCGCCTACCTACATGATCGCATCTCTGTATACAAACCCACATGATCCCTTCGATCATCCGGAGAGGCCCTGCTCTCGATCCCACCAGCATTGCAGGCGCGTTTGGTGGGGACGAGGGAGAGGGCCTTTTCAGTGGTGGCCCCTCAACTCTGGAACTCACTCCCTAAAGACATCAGACAGGCCCCAACCCTGGCAGTCTTCAGGAGGAGCTTGAAGACGTGGCTGTTCCAGTGTGCCTTCCCAGAATAATGAATCCCATAGCACTTTGTCCTCCAAAGCACTTTACATTTCCCTGAGTCTGCTTGTATGCCCTCCACAAACACTAGTATCACCTTTCGCTTATGGCCCAGCATTATTTCCAATTTTAACTCTACATTTGGCCTTCCCACTGTTTTAATTATGTGTTGCTTTTTTTAAAATAATGTTGTGTATTTTATTGTCTATGTTGTTAATTGCTTGTATCGATGTTTTATTGCTTTTGTTGTTGTGTCATGTAAGCCGCACCGAGTCCCTTGGGGAGATGGTAGCGGGGTACAAATAAAGTTAATAAATAAATAATAATAATAATAATAAATAAGCACTGGCAAACTTGGGCCTTCCACAATCCCTAACAGCCTCAGGCCCCTTCCTTTCCCCCCTCAACCACTTAAGCTTTGCATTTCTTCTATGTGTGTTGCCCATTTTTTTGAATATACAAACGACAAATCTTCTACTGGTCTGCATGCACCGTCAAACCATAACAGGAAGCCTTCCTTTGTGCCTATGGGGCACTTACCCGAGCCACGGCCCGGTCTGAGAGGTAGCCAGCTGCAATGCTTCCAACCAGGCCCCCGACTTCCAAGGCACTCATGTAGGAACTTCCTGTGGGACAAAGGAAACAGCAGTACACAATAATAATAATAACAATAACAACAACAATATAATGCCAGTAAAGGTGGTTCCAGTGGTGATCGGCACACTGGGTGCAGTGTCTAAGGACTTTGGCCTGCACTTAAACACAATCAACACTGACAAAATTACCACCTGTCAGCTGCAAAAGGCCACTGTACTGGGATCTGCATGTCCTCCAAAGCACTTTACATTGTTTTAGGTCTGCTTGTATATTTTCCACAAACGCCCCATCACTTTTTTCGCCCATGTTCCAGCATTATTTTTAATTTTAATTTACATTTGGCCTTCCCATAGTTTTTAATAGTGTGTTGTCTTATTGTTAATGCTTAAGTTATTGTTTTATCGTCTATGTTTGATTTTAATTGCTTGTCTTGTTGTTATTATTGTCTGTATTGTTGTATTTGGGCTCGGCCTCATGTAAGCTGCACCAAGTCCCATGGGGAGATGGTAGCGGGGTACAAATAAAGTTTAAAGGGAACTGCGAAAGACTGCTCAAACTTCCGTACAGTGGCCCTTATTTCTCATGCCAGTAAGGTAATGCTCAAGATCCTGCAAGGAAGACTCCAGCAATACATGGAGCGAGAGTTGCCAGATGTTCAAGCTGGGTTTAGAAAAGGCAGAGGAACGAGAGACCAGATTGCCAATATCCTGATGCTGGATAATGGAGAAAGGCAGGGAGTTTCAGAAAAACATCTACTTCTGCTTCATTGACTATTCTAAAGCCTTTGACTGTGTGGATCATAATAAATTGTGGCAAGTTCTTAGTGGGATGGGCATCCCAAGCCACCTTGTCTCTCTCCTGAGGAATCTGTACAAGGACCAAGTAGCAACAGTCAGAACTGACCACGGAACAACAGACTGGTTCAAGATTGGGAAAGGCCTACGGCAAGGCTGCATCCTCTCACCCAACCTTTTTAACTTGTATGCAGAACACATCATGCGATGTGCGGGGCTGGATGAATGCAAGGCTGGGGTGAAAATTGCTGGAAGAAACATTAACAACCTCAGAAATGCAGATGACACCACTCTGATGGCCGAAAGCGAGGAGGAGCTGAGGAGCCTTCTAATCAAGGTGAAAGAAGAAAGCGCAAAAGCCGGGTTGCAGCTAAACGTCAAAAAAACCAAGATTATGGCAACAAGAATGATTGACAACTGGAAATAGAGGGAGAAACCGTGGAGGCCGTGACAGACTTTGTATTTCTAGGTTCAAAGATTACTGCAGATGCAGACTGTAGCCAGGAAATCAGAAGACGCTTACTTCTTGGGAGGAGAGCAATGTCCAATCTCGATAAAATAGTGAAGAGTAGAGACATCAGACTGGCAACAAAGATCCGCCTTGTCAAAGCCATGGTATTCCCTGTAGTCACCTACGGATGTGAGAGCTGGACCTTAGGGAAGGCTGAGCGAAGGAAGATCGATGCTTTTGAGCTGTGGTGTTGGAGGAAAGTGCTGAGAGTGCCTTGGACTGAGAGAAGATCCAACCAGTCCATCCTCCAGGAAATAAAGCCGACTGCTCACTGGAGGGAAAGATACTAGAGACAAAGTTGAAGTACTTTGGCCACATCATGAGGAGACAGAAAGCCTAGAGAAGACAATTATGCTGGGGAAAGTGAAGGAAAAGGAAGAGGGGCCGACCAAGGGCAAGATGGATGGATGGCATCCTTGAAGTGACTGGACTGACCTTGAGGGAGCTGGGGGTGGTAACGGCCGACAGGGAGCTCTGGCGTAGGCTGGTCCATGAGGTCACGAAGAGTCGGAGACGACTGAACGAATGAACAACAACACAAATAAAGTGTTGTTGTTATTATTATTATTATCCACCAATACAACAGCCAGCAGAGTGATCTTGTTTGCTGTGTACTAATCTTGTTCTGTTTCAAATTATAATAATGATAGTAGTAGTAGTAATAATAATAATAATAATAATAATAGCTGACATAATATGAGGATTTAAAAATCGAACTGCAAAGACTCTGGCACAAACCAGTAAAGGTGGTCCCAGTGATTATCAGCACACTGGGAGCAGTGCCTCAAGACCTTGGCCTGTACTTAAACACAATTGGCGCTGACAAGATTACCATCTGCCAGCTGCAGAAGGCCACCTTACTGGGATCTGCACACATTATTTGCCGATACATCACACAGTCCTAGACACTTGGGAAGTGTCCGACATGTGATCCAATACAACAGCCAGCAGAGTGTCTGCTGTGGACTCATCTTGTTGTGTTTCTAATAATAATAATAATAATAATAATAATAATAATAATAGAATTACTCGCCAGTCCTTGCAGCTTGAGGTCTCACCCTTTGCTCCTCCCTCCTCATTCCCAGGCCCCCCAAGACTCAATTCTCCCCATTTGCTTTTGAGACCCCCCCCCCCCAACACCTCCACCCTGGAAGGTTGGTGCCTCGTACCCACAAGGGCCGACTGCCCTCTCTCCTGGATGAGGAAGAGCTGTCCCCAGTCCGTGCAGCAGGTCTTGACGCCAAAGACCACCAGGTAGCCAGTCGAGAGGACCCAGAGGTACGGGGAGAGCAGCAGCTCGGCCAGGGTGCTGTCGCCCGCGGAGGCACCTGCAAAGGAGAGGCACCTGTGACTCCTGAGGGCCAGGTGGGTGCCCCGTGCGTCTGCAAACCTTCTCCTCCCACCGGCCTGCCTCCTTCCTTCCTCCCGGAGACTCACCCTTCTTCCCCTTCTTGGGGCCCGGCTCGATGTTGGGCAGGCCGACGTCCGAGGGCTCGTTCTTGATGAGGAGCAGGCAGACCACGGAGGCGGCCACGCAGAGCGAGCCAGAGAGGGCCAGGGTGGTGCGCCAGTCGTAGCGCAGCGCCATCAGGGCCGCCACGAGGGGTCCCAGCCCCCCGGCCAGGTTCATGCTGGTGGAGAGGACGGCCCACCAGGTCCCAAACTGGGAGGGCTCAAACCACTGTGTAGACAGAGGGAGAAAGAGGGCAGGCATTGGTGGGCATGTCCCAAGCATGGAGGGCTCCTCCGAATCTTGCCCTCCTCTGACCCCTTCCCTGGGCTTCACCTCAATAGGGAAGGTTCCAAGGGATGCGCCCCTTCCTCCCGACATGCAATGGCCCCCAAATCAGTTAGCTAGCAAGCCTTGACTTTAAGAAGAATAATAAACAGCTTGACTTGCATCCTGCCTCCATCTCCCAAAAAGGGACTTGGGGCAGCTAACAAGGCACTGCAAGTGCAGTAAGGTCAAGGTCAAGGTTTTCCCCTGACATTAAGTCCAGTTGTGTCTGACTCTGGGGGATGGTGATCATCTCAGTTTCTAAACTGAAGAGCCGGTGTTCTCCGTAGACACCTCCTAGGTCATGTGGCCAGCATGACTGCATGGAGTGCCATTACCATCCTGCTGCAATGGTACCTATTGATCCACTCACATTTGCATGTTTTTGAACTGTTAGGTTGGCAGAAGCTGGGGCTAACAGCGGGAGCTCACGCCGCTCCCTGGATTTGAACCTGTCAGCAAGTTCAGCAGCTCAGTGGTTTAACCCACTGCTCCACCAGGGCCTTTTCTCTCTCTCTCTCACTCTCTGTATCTGTCTCTCTCTCTCTCTCTCTCTCTCTCTCTCTCTATATATATATATATATATATATATATATATATACATACACACATACACATATATATATATAGAGGATACACACACACATATAGGGAGTCGCCGGTGGAGCAGTGGGCTAAAGCGCTGAGCTGCTGAGCTTGTTGACTGTAAGGTGGCAGGTTGGAATCTGGGGAGCAGTGGGAAGGTAATGGCGCTCCCTGCAGTCATGCTGGCTACATGACCTTGGAGGTGTCTATGGACAACGCCGTCTCTTCGGGGGAAAACCTTTACCTTTACCTACACACACACACGCTCCTCTTGCCTCGTTTCCAACAGACCTCTATGCAGATACCCTCACTGATTGACTTTGCAAACTTTAAGACTACTCAAATGCTAATCAACATTTACACTAGCCTCCAACAGACAAGAGTCCCTCCCACCCTTGACATTGTTCCACAGGTGTGTGCGTGTGTGTGTGTATACACACACATACACACACTCATCTCATCTGCCTGGTTTCCAACAGGCCTCACAAGCACTGAGGATGCCTGCCATAGATGGAGGCGAAACGCCAGGAGGCAATGCTTCTGGAAACTGGCTAGACAGCCCAGATTTGAACTTGCAACCTGGTTTCCAGCAAGCCTCACAAGCACTGAGGATGCCTGCCATAGATGGAGGCGAAATGCCAGGAGGTGATGCTTCTGGAAACTGGCTAGACAGCCCAGATTTGAACTTGCAACTTGGTTTCCAACAAGCCTCACAAGCACTGAGGATGCCTGCCATAGATGGAGGTGAAACATCAGGAGGTAATGCTTCTGGAAACTGGCTAGACAGCCCAGATTTGAACTTGCAAGCTTTTGGTCAGCAAGTTCTGCAGCTCAGTGCTTTAACCCACTGCGCTCAAAGTTACAAACAACCACTCTCAACCCATAAAATAAAATGCACAATTTAAAAACACTTTAGACTTTAGTACTGTTTTTTCATCTCTCTGCCCACAAAAGGAGCACGGAAGCAACATGCATTAAGCAGGGTGAGACAAAATACAAATCTCATCCTGCTAATTCAGCGCAATACAAACACCAGGATCTCATGGTCCTGAAGAGAATGCTGGGCTTGGCAATGGCCAGTCCCCAAGGGAGGTGGGCTGGTGGCTTCTGTGCAAGTGACAGCGTGAGGCAGAAAGAGAAAGGCCTCGGTCTCACTCTCGCTCATCTCCTTGCAAAGCAATTCCTGGAGGCTTACAAACGCAAATAGAGGGATTGGCTGCTCTCAGAAACATGTGCAGGTATCTTATTGCCTGGAAGCAGGTCTATTGATGGTGGCTTCATTTGATCGTCTCCTCTCCGGTCGGCCTTAAGAGGCTGCTGCTCTTATGGCAAAGGGGTGCCAAATGCCCAAGAATATCTCCGGCTGCAACACGATAGCGCCTGCAATTTATAGCGGTTGGCCCCTTCTTCCAGGGCCAGCTGAGGCCAAGCCCAGGAATACGGCTGGGAAGTGAAGGAGCGAGGCCATTCCCTCCTTTGCGAGGTCGGGAGGCTCACCTTGCGCAGGACCTTTCCGCAGGGGGGCCACCCCAGGCCCTGGGCCAGGCCGTTGAGGAACCACAGCCCCGCAAAGAGCGCCACGGTCGAGCTCCAGGAGAAGACCACGTTGACCAGGCCGACCAAGAGCAGGCCGGAGGAGAAGAGCCAGCGGGCGCTCATCTGGTCGGAGAGGACCCCGCTGATGAACTTGCTGATGGCGTAGGCCGCTGACTGGCTGCTGGTGATGAGACCTGCATTGGATGAAAGCCCCCCACAAAAACAGGAAACGTAAAAAGGCTTCACGGATACGCAAAACAGAGACGGGTCCATGCAGCCCTTGCTCAACCAGGCAGGCAAAAGGACAGGCGATATCGGAACTGAGCCTGAACACTGATGCTGAAGCCATTCCCTGACCAGCTTGCAATGCTTCCAGGTGCACGTCCAGAGAAGCCTGCACCAGCCATCTTTCTCAACTGTCAAAAGGTTCAGTACTAGGACTCTGCTGCTCTGGCTTCAGGCTGGACTCACAGTATTTACTAATGCACTAGAAGCCTGTGGCCTTCTTGGAAATACAGATGTTAACATCCTATAAGACAACACTAAACATTTATATGTTCAAGACCTGAGGGAGAGGACCTTCTCAGTGGTGGCCCCCCAACTCTGGAATAATAATAATAATCATCATCATCATCATCATCATCATCATCATCATCATCATCATACTTTATTTATACCCCGCTACCATCTCCCCAAGGGACTCGGTGCAGCATACATGAGGCTGAGCCCAAAGTACATCCATAGTAAAAGCAATAAAAAACAATCAATACAACAGTTAAAATAAATCTCATACACAAAAGTAAACAATATCAATAACTGGGTTGTAGGTTTTTTCGGGCTATGTGGCCATGTTCTAGAAGCATTCTCTCCTGACGTTTCGCCTGCATCAATGGCAAGCATCCTCAGAGGTGGTGAGGTCTGTTGGAACTAGGAAAAAGGGTTTATATATCTGTGGACAATTTCAACAGAAAGGAGGAAACCATGAAAAGGAACACAATCTGGCTACCAGTATTAAAAAAAACCTCTAAAATTGCAACAGCACAACAGAGAGGAAACAATCAGGCACATCTAATCACCTCTCAACAAAAGTTTGCTCTAGGCACTGTCAAGCCATTATATGCTGATCAAGGTGGTCAGTTGAAACATTTCACACCTAGCTCCAGCAGACAAGAGTCCTTTGTCTCACCCTGGTCATTCCACAGATATATAAACCCATTTTTCCTAGTTCCAACAGACCTCACTACCTTTGAGGATGCTTGCCATAGATGCAGGCGAAACATCAGGAGACCATGGCCATACAGCCCGAAAAAACCTACAACAACCCAGTGATTCCAGCCATGAAAGCCTTCGACAATATAATAACAATAACAAGCATTTAAAACCTATGGCTGGGCCAAATGCAATAATTTAAAATTAAAAAAATAATGCTGGACATGGACAAGGCAGGATATAACTGGGATAGGGTTTTCAGGTAGAGATGGGGTGCACAGACAATCCTAAATCAGTGATAAAGTGCATTTAGGGACATATTGCTGAGGGTATTTCCTTACTCTGGAAAGGCACACTGGAACAACTTGTGGAACTCACTCCCCAAGGATATCAGGCAAGCCCCCACATTGGCAGTCTTTAGGAGGAGCCTGAAAACGTGGCTGTTCCAGCGTGCCTTCCCTGAATAAAGGACACAATGCCCTGCTCTGATTAATTCTCTGCAATTGTCCTCAGAAACACTTTACTACCCATTGTGTTGCTCTCCCTACATTATCTTTTAAATCCCTCCTACTTAGATACATCCGACCTCTGTTCATGCCTAGTGTTTATTTTAAAAAAATTTAATTTATTACATCTGGCCCGGCCATAAGGTTTTAAATTCTCTGTGTTATTGTTTATATGTGAGTTACATTCATTGTACTGTTTTATTTGCTTGCTGTTTTGTTGTTTACTGATGTGTTGTTGGGCTTGGCCTCATGTAAGCCGCCCCGAGATCCCCTTGGGGAGATGGTGGCGGGGTGTAAATAAAGTATTATTATTATTATTATTATTATTATTATTATTATTATTGTGTGAATATCAAAACAATCTTGACTATGAAGACTCTGGTGCATTTTCGTAACCCTATATCCGGCTAAGATTGGGTTGAAACGCTAGTGGATCAAATGAGCCCCTATTCTCCTGCCTTCCCTGGCTCTCTTTTCCTTTCTCTTCCTCTGTGATGAACTATAGACAAGGAACTTCAAGACAGATATTGGTTCCTGGCATTCTGCTCAGTGTCAAGCGCATGGAGAGTGCCCTCTGAGTAATAGGAACAACAACAAACAGCCAAAGCCAGGGAAAGTTCTAGGAAAGGTCACACTTTGCATCAATTCCGGGTTAAGATGTGCCATTCTCTACAGACTCAAAGAATCGTAGAATCCTAGAGTTAGAAGAGACCTCATGGGCCATCCAGTCCAACCCCACTCTGCCAAGAAGCAGGACAATGGCATTCAAAGCACTCCCAACAGATGGCCACCCAGCCTCTGCTTAATAATAATAATAATAATAATAATAATAATAATAATAATAATAATAGAATCCCAGAGTTGGAAGAGACCTGGTGGGTCACCCAGTGCAACCCCATTCTGCCAAGAAGCAGGATAATCACATTCAAAGCACTCCCAACAGATGGCCACCCAGCCTCTGCTTAATAATAATAATAATAATAATAATAATAATAATAATAGAATCCCAGAGTTGGAAGAGACTTCATGGGCCATCCAGTCCAACCCCATTCTGCCAAGAAGCAGGACAATCGCATTCAAAGCACTCCCAACAGATGGCCACCCAGCCTCTGCTTAATAATAATAATAATAATAATAATAATAATAATAATAGAATCCCAGAGTTGGAAGAGACCTGGTGGGTCACCCAGTGCAACCCCATTCTGCCAAGAAGCAGGACAATCACATTCAAAGCACTCCCAACAGATGGCCACCCAGCCTCTGCTTAATAATAATAATAATAATAATAATAATAATAATAGAATCCCAGAGTTGGAAGAGACCTGGTGGGTCACCCAGTGCAACCCCATTCTGCCAAGAAGCAGGATAATCACATTCAAAGCACTCCCAACAGATGGCCACCCAGCCTCTGCTTAATAATAATAATAATAATAATAATAATAATAATAGAATCCCAGAGTTGGAAGAGACTTCATGGGCCATCCAGTCCAACCCCATTCTGCCAAGAAGCAGGACAATCGCATTCAAAGCACTCCCAACAGATGGCCACCCAGCCTCTGCTCAATAATAATAATAATAATAATAATAATAATAATAATAATAGAATCCCAGAGTTGGAAGAGACTTCATGGGCCATCCAGTCCAACCCCATTCTGCCAAGAAGCAGGAATCACATTCAAAGCACCCCTGACAGATGGCCATCCAGCCTCTGTTTAATAATAATGATAACAATAATAATAATAATAATAGAATCCTAGAGTGGGAAGAGACCTCCTGGGCCATCATCCAGTCCAACCCCATTCTGCCAAGAAGCAGGAATATTGCATTCAAATCACCCCTGACAGATGGCCATCCAGCCTCTGCTTAATAATAATAATAATAATAATAATAATAATAATAATAATAGAATCCTAGTGGAAGAGACCTCCAAGGGCCATCCAGTCCAACCCCTTTGCCAAGAAGCTTTCTGTCATGAAGAAAGGCACAAAGTACTCCCAACACATTAGAATCCTAGAGTTGGAAGAGACCTCATGGGCCATCCAGTCCAACCCCATTCTGCCAAGAAGCAGGAATATTGCATTCAAATCACCCCTGACAGATGGCCATCCAGCCTCTGTTTAAAAGCTTCCAAAGAAGGAACCTCCACCACACTCCCTCCGGGGCAGAGAGTTCCACTGCTGAACAGATCTCACAGTCAGAAAGTTCTTCCTCATGTTCAGGTGGAATCTCCTTTCTTTCCTGTAGTTTGAAGCCATGGCTCCATTGCATCCTAGTCTCCAGGGCAGCAGAAAGGAAACTTGCTCCCTCCTCCCTAGGACTTCCCCTCACATAGTTATACATGGCCCTCATCATGTTTCCTCTCAACCTTCTCTTCTGCAGGTTAAATATGCCCGGCTCTTTAAGCTGCTCCTCATAGGGCTTCTTCTCCAGACCCTTGATCATTTTGAATGGAAGACAAATATGAATGGAAGGGAATACTGGTCCAGAGAGATGTCCTTTGGGCCTGATCCAGCACAGCAGTTCTTACAACGCTGTACAACAAAAGGGACTGGATTACCACTGAGAAGTTCAGGGATGCTGACCCAGAGAGACCTCCTTTGGGCAGTTCTTACAACGCTGTATGACAAAAGGGACCGGATTACCACTGAGAAGTTCACCTTCTGGGCAGTATGTTTGGAAAGGAATGGGTTACAAAACTCTCCAAGGATCACGGTGGGCCCAGGCTGAGCATCAGTCCCAGGACTGCAAACTGGGCACTGGCCTCTTTCCAAGGAGAAGGAGAAAGTAGGACAAGCACCCCATAAAGTAGGACAAGGTTCCTGCAGGAAAGCACCCCATGCATCCTAAGCGAGTCCCTGAAACAAAGGCAGGCAAAGCCGCTCAACCTCCCCAAAGCCAAAAAGAGAAAGCTGTTCCTTACCCAAGTCGTCCTTGTCGAGCTCGATCTCTTCCATGACCGAAGGCATGACGAAGGAGAAGGTTTTCCGGTTGAAGTAGTACAAGGTGTACCCGACGTACATGGCGGTGAAGATCACCAGCCGGTAATAGCCGTAGCCCTTGCCCGCCATCGTGGCTGCAGAGCTGGGGCTCTCTGTCAGGAAGGGGACGCTGCTTCTGCCTCGGGAGAGACACCGATCCCAGGAGTGAATGCAAGCGGAGGGCTGGCACTTGGGGCTCTAGCACGAGGGGCCCAGCGGTGGCTGCAGCTGTCCGGCGGGGGGTGAGTGGCAGCCGCTCCTTGCCAAGGTTTCTGCTGAGTGGGACCTTTGCTGGCACTCTCCTTCCTCCTGGAGAATCATTAACCTGGGGAGCATGGCTGGCCCACCATGCGTTCATGCATCCACCCGCCTGCAAGGAAACAAACAAGAGAAGCTTTTGCCTTTGGAGCGGAAAGATTAGCGGGCTTCCCTTGCTCCCGCTGCCCTCTGACCCCTCAACTCAAATAGCACAAGACAGGAGAGGAAAAGATCCATGCCTTCCTGGAACGAGGCCGAGCGCCGTCCTGGGAAGACGTTTCACCTGCCGCTTTGAGTCTCCTTGTGCAGAGAGAAGCAGGGGAGAAAAAACATCAACAATCATGGGTTGTTGTGGGTTTTTTCGGGCTATATAGCCATGTTCTAGAGCAGTGTTTCTCAACCTGGGGGTCGGGACCCCTGGGGGGGTCGCAAGGGGGTGTCAAAGGGGTCGCCAAAGACCATCAAAAACACACAGTATTTTCTGTTGATTATGGGGGTTCTGTGTGGGAAGTTTGGCCAAATTGTATCATTGGTGGGCTTCAGAATGCTCTCAGATTGCAGGTGAACTATAAATCCCAGCAACTACAACTCCCAAATGTCAAGGTCTATTTTCCCCCAAACTCCACCAGTGTTCACATTTGGGCATATTGAGTATTCGTGCCAAGTTTGGTCCAGATCCATCATTGTTTGAGTCCACAGTGCTCTCTGGATGTAGGTGAACTACAACTCCCAAACTCAAGGTCAATGCCCACCAAACCTTCCAGTATTTTCTGTTGGTCGTGGGAGTTCTGTGTGCCAAGTTTGGTCCAATTCCATCATTGGTGGAGTTCAGAATGCTCCATCATTGATTGAGTCCACACTGCTCTCTGGATGTAGGTGAACTACAGCTCCCAAACTCAAGATCAATGCCCACCAAACCCTTCCAGCATTTTCTGTTGGTCATGAGAGTTATGTGTGCCAAGTCTGGTTCAATTGCATCATTGGTGGAATTCAGAATGCTCTTTGAATTTAAATGAACTATAAATCCCAGAAACTATAACTCCCAAATGACAACATCAATCTCCCCCAACCCACCAGTATTCAAATTTGGGCATATCGGGTATTTGTGCCAAATGTGGTCCAGTGAATGAAAATACATCCTGCATATCAAATATTTACATTATGATTCATAACATTAGCAAAATTACAGTTATGGAGTCGCAACAAAAATAATGTTGTGGTTGGGGGTCACCAACCACATTAAGGGGTCGCAGCATTAGGAAGGTTGAGAACCACTGTTCTTGAGGCATTCTCTCCTGATGTTTCGCCTGCATCTGTGGCAAGCATCCTCAGGGCTACTCACTACCTCTGAGGATGCTTGCCATGGATGCAGGCGAAACGTCAGGAGAGAATGCCTCTAGAACATGGCCATATAGCCCGAAAAAACCTACAACAACCCACTGACATTGCAGTGTCTTCACACACTCTTGTGTAGTCTGACAGGCTTTTCTTTCACGTTGGGACTGTGCTTACGTTAAAAAGTACCAATGCTCCCCTATCCCCCCCCCCCACAATCAACGAGCATATGCACCCATATAAAATAATGTATATTCTTTCCTTGAACCACTATTTGCCAATCAAAAGGGAGATATATGTGTGTGTGTGTGTGTGCGTGTGTTTGTGTACACACACACACACACATATATTAGCCATCCCCTGCCACACGTTGCTGTGGCTCAGTCTGGTGATCTGGAAAATAAAGTAATGGTATCTAATCTATGTAATGTCTTGATGCTTGCGGGTAAACAGTATTTCTTGTTGTTTCTTTGTCAGTGTTGATGTGGAGAGTGTCTGGTTTGCCTACTCTGGAACATGCAAGATATCATTGTCCTTCTTTAAGGGTCCCTTTCCAATCTATGATACTATGTCTGTGTGTGTGTGAATCATATCGATCTATCTAATCTATGGCTGGGTGGCTCTTTGTCAGGAGAGCTTTTGCCCTGATGAAGGGAGTTGGACTGAATGGCCTTAAGTATTTTCTGTTGGTCACGGGGGTTCTGTGTGGGAAGTTTTCAACAATTCTGTTGTTGGTGGGGTTTAGAATGCTCTTTGATTGTAGGTGAACTATAAATCCCAAGAATTTTGAGTGAAGGACATACATTGGGATGTTAGGTGTATGCTGTCCAAATTTGGTGTCAATTTGCCCACTGGTTTTTGAGTTCTGTTAATCCCACAAACGAACATTACATCTTATTTATTTATTTATTTATTTACTACGCTGATATACCGCAATTCTCAGCCTACTGGCGACTCATTGCGGTGTACAACATAGAAAAAAAAAGGTGCAAAATACAACATAAAATAAAATAATCCACAGTACATAATTATCAACATCATCAAAACATCAAAACATCAAATTACTACAAGATCATTCCGAGTCGTCTCATCGTCAAATTCACAATCCGATACCATATCCGTTGTTCCAATCCTATGGTCGAATTACCAGTCATTGCTCTTCTATTCAAAAGCCTTCTTAAACAACCAGGTCTTTAGCTTCCTGTGGAGGATCAACAGGGAGGGGGCTAACCTGATGTCCACAGGAAGGATGTTCCACAGCCGAGGAGCCACCACCGAGAAGGCCCTATCTCTCGTCCCCGCCAGCCGTGCCTGAGACGCAGGCGGGATCGAGAGCAGGGCCTCCCCGGAAGATCTCAAAGTCCTTGTGGGCTCATAGGGCTCATAGGCCGAGAGGCGGTTAGTTAGGTATCTTGAGCCGGAACCGTTTAGGGCTTTATAGGCCAGTGCCAGCACCTTGAATTGAGCCCGGTAGTAGATCGGCAGCCAGTGGAGCTGGTACAGCGGGGGGGAGTATGCTCCCTGTGCCCCGCTCCTGTTAGTATCATGGCTGCCGCATGTTGGACCAGTTGGAGCTTCCGGGCCGTCTTCAAGGGCAACCCCACATAGAGAGCATTGCAGTAGTCTAAACGGGATGTAACCAGAGCGTGGACTACCATGGCCAAGTCAGACTTCCCAAGGTACAGGTGCAGCTGGCGCACGAGCCAAAGCTGTGCAAATGCTCCCCTGGTCACCGCCGAGACCTGGGGCTCCAGGCTCAGCGATGAATCCAGGATCACACCCAAGCTGCGAACCTGCGCCTTCAAGGGGAGTGCGACCCCATCCAGCACAGGCTGTAACCCTATACCCTGTTCGGCCTTTCCTCTCTTCTTTCCTCAAAGCTGCAAAGGAGGGCTCTCTGCAAAAGACTCCAGCATTCGGACCCAATGCAGGCCAGGAGGCTCCTTCGCTCCAAAGGCCAAACCTCAGGGGTGATTCAAGGTCAACCTCTTGGAAAGGTGCCTGGAAAGCCAAAGAGGAGGCTCCAACGCTGGCAAAGCAGCCAGTGCCCTCCTCTTTTGGTCCTTCCGGGTAAAGCTGAGCCGTTTGGGAAAAAGGGCTTTAGGAACAAACAGCATTGTTATTGGGTAGTTGTAGGTTTTTTTGGGCTATGTGGCCATGTTCTAGAGGCATTTTCTCTTGACGTTTCGCCTGCATCTATGGCAAGCATCCTCAGAGGTGGTGAGGTCTGTTGGAACTAGGAAAAAGGGTTTATATATCTCTGGAATGGCCAGGGTGGGACAAAGGACTCTTGTCTGCTGGAGCTAGGTGTGAATGTTTCAGCTGACCACCTTGATTAGCATATAATGGCCTGGCAGTGCCTGGAGCAATCTTTTGTTGAGAGATGATTAGATGTCCCTGATTGTTTTCCCTCTGCTGTTTTGCTGTTTTAATTTTAGAGTATTTTTAATACTGGTAGCCAGATTTTGTTCATTATTATGGTTTCCTCCTTTCTGTTGAAATTGTCCACATGCTTCTGGATTTCGATGGCTTCTCTGCATAGTCTGACATGGTGGTGGTGAGAGTGGTCCAGCATTTCTGTGTTCTCAAATAATATGCTGTGTCCAGGTTGGTTCATCAGGTGCTCTGCTATGACTCTGCTACGGCAGACAAGAGTCCTTTGTCCCACCCTGGTCATTCCACAGATATATAAACCCATTTTCCTAGTTCCAACAGACCTCACTACCTCTGAGGATGCTTGCCAGAGATGCAGGTGAAACATCAGGAGAGAATGCCTCTAGAACATGGCCATATAGTCTGAAAAAACCTACAATAACCCAGTGATTCCGGCCATGAAAGCCTTCAACAAAGCATTGTTATTGCACCATGTAACACAGTTTCTGTTCCTGGGTTATAAGTGTCGTTTCCTAATTGGTTCTATCATTAAACTGACAAAGTTCTGTTTTTTGTGGAACCTCCTACAGCAACACATTTTGCTCCAGTTTTTCAATGAATATCTCATCATCGAATCTCAACCCATTCAACCTACTTCGTGGCAGCCACAAAAACAAAGTTTCTGGAATAGAACAACTCCTTTCAAAGTCAGGACCTCACAGGAAATAATAGTAGTAGTAGTAATAATAATAATAATAATAATAATAATCTTTATTTGTACCCCGCCACCATCTCCCCAATGGGGACTCAGAACGGCTTACACGGGGCCAAGCCCGAACAACAATTACAATAAGGAACGACCGAACGCAAACCGAAAATGCAAACAATAAACAACATGTATTGTCGAAGGCTTTCATGGCCGGAATCACTGGGTTGTTGTAGGTTTATTCGGGCTATATGGCCATGGTCTAGAGGCATTCTCTCCTGATGTTTCACCTGCATCTATGGCAAGCATCCTCAGAGGTAGTGAGGTCTGTTGGAACTAGGAAAAAAATGAACAAAATCTAGGAAAATGAACAAAATCTGGCTATCAGTATTTAAAAAACTCTAAAATTACAACAACAGAACAACAGAGAGGAAACAAACAAGGACATCTAATCACCTCTCAACAAAAGTTTGCTCTAGGCACTGTCAGGCCATTATATGCTAATCAAGGTGGTCAGTTGAAACATTCACACCTAGCTCCAACAGACAGGAGTCCTTTGTCCCACCCATGTCATTCCACGGATATATAAACCCCTTTTTCCTACTTCCAACAGACCTCACAACCTCTGAGGATGCTTGCCATAGATGCAGGCGAAACGTCAGGAGAGAATGCCTCCAGAACATGGCCATATAGCCCGAAAAAACCTACAACAACCCAGTGATTCCGACCATGAAAGCCTTCAACAATACATTAAACAAGTACATCTAATCACCTCTCAACAAAAGTTTGCCCCAGGCACAGTCAGCCCATTGTATGCTAATCAAGGTGGTCAGTTGAAACATTCACACCTAGCTCCAGCAGATAAGAGTCCTTTGTCCCACCCTGGTCTTTCCACAGATATATAAACCCTTTTTCCTAGTTCCAACAGACCTCACTACCTCTGAGGATGCTTGCCATAGATGCAGGCGAAACATCAGGAGAAAATGCCTCTAGACCATGAAAAAACCTACAACAACCCAATAAACAACATCATAGTTACATAAAACATTTGGATATACAGCAATATAAAATTACACTAAACATAAACACTTTCAAATTACACTTTCAAACCAGAATCTTTTTCAAAACATTATGACGGAATGCATTTCCCTTTGTGAGGAGGAGTGGTCCTTCCAACATGAAGGAATCATTGACAGAGATAGCATGACAAGTGGGTAACTAACTGCCCACAACGGGCATGGAGGGAAAGTGTTCAAAGACACCCAAAAACACCTTTTGAGAGTGTGCAAACTGTTCTCTGAAGCCAGGGCTACTGGATACCACCTGTGCTGCGCCTGTGTGTCCTTCCTTTCCCTGTTGACACACTGCACAACACATATGGTCTCTCTGATGCTCACAGGAAGCTCCGGACCAAAGCATTGCACATGAAAGGAGCACAGAAGAGGCCACAACCCTTCACCCATTTCCATGGCAGGAACCTGGAGCAGCTGGACTTTGGCCTATTTACTCAATGAAATCCTCCTGTTTGGTTTAGGCCCCTGGTTCCCAACACGGGCCCCACAAGCAGGCAGCACTTGATTCAATTTGAGAATGAGTTACTAACAGTGAATATTTTTTTTTGCATGTCTTACCCCATGGAACACAACTTTTGTTCCTGGGTTACAAACATCATTTCCTAATTGGTTCTGCTGTGAAAACATGGAGAAAGTTGATCATACTACAAAAACGTTGTTTTTGTCAGAAGGACATCCTGCAGCACATTTGGCTTGACTTTATATTAGATGTAATGCTTTTCACTGTATTTTATGTTGTTTGCGGCACTCTGAGGGAGACTCAGAGCAGTGCACAACATGGCAAAACTCAATGCCGCCAATGTCGTCGAGGGCATCCCAGACCCCTGCCTTCAAGCTGATCTGACCAGCCGCAGGGAGTTCCACAGTTCCTGAAGGCCAAGTTGGGCCAAACTGATGAAATGTGCTCCAGCAGCAGCCTCCACCAGGGACTCTTTACAGTCGTATGCTCTCTCCTTTCACTCCTTTTGCCAGCTCCAACTATGTAACCAATCCCTCAATAAAGACTAATCAAATTGTAACTTTTAAACTCTCCAGCTTGATACTTTGTGTCCCTTTCTTGCCTGAAACTATCAAAGTGCATGAAACTAACCTTTTCTGGCGTCCCAGGGAGGCCGAACCTGCGCTCCCCCAAACCGCGGGTACAGAAATCCCTCGGGCCCCCGTATCCACGAAATCGCGGATCGGCTCCATTTTGATGGCATATTTTTCCTGGCTAAATTCTAACACTATCTGCTATCTCACTTTTTGTATTTCAGGCCTCTGCGCTTGGGGAATAACCTTTTGAATTTTAAGAATATAATTTTAAGGAAACAGCAGATTGTCAAAATCCAAGCCTCACTGCTGCCGCGCTGCTGCTGCCCTCACTGCTTCTTTGTCCTTGTGAAGCCCCCTGCCCTGGAGACTTGGTGCGGCTACCCCACAAGGCTTTACTCATGTTTTCAAGCTGCTAGGTTGGCAGAAGCTGGGGCTTACAGTGGGAGCTCACCCCACTCCCAAGGCAGTACCTATTAATCTACTTATGTTTTCGAACTGCTAGATTGGCAGAAGCTGGGGCTAACAGTGAGAGCTCACCCCACTCCCAAGGCAGTACCTATTAATGTTTTTGAGCTGCTAGGTTGTATATTGTATAAATATACAATATATATATTGTATAAATATACAATATATATATATATATATATATATATATATATATATATTGTATAAACATATATTTATAATATTATAATGTAATGCAATATAATAATAATAATAATATGATATTATAATTATATATTTATATTACATGTGATATTACTAATAATATTACAATATAATTGGTATAGTATAATATAGCAATATTTAAAACTGATATTGTACTATGCTAATAATATAATATATTGTATGTATATATACCTTGTAAGCCGCTCTGAGTCCCCTTCGGGGTGACAAGGGCAGCATATAAATGTCATAAATAAATAAATAATAAATAGGTTGGCAGAAGCTGGAGCTAATAGTGGGACTCACCTCACTCCCAAGGCAGTACCTATTAATCTACTCATGTTTGCATGTTTTCGAGCTGCTAGGTTGGCAGAAGCTGGGGCTAACAGCGAGAGCTCACCCCACTCCCAAAGCAATACCTATGAATCTACTCATGTTTTTGAGCTGCTAGGTTGGCAGAAGCTGGGGCTAACAGCGAGAGCTCACCCCACTCCCAAAGCAATACCTATGAATCTACTCATGTTTTTGAGCTGCTAGGTTGGCAGAAGCTGGGGCTAACAGCGAGAGCTCACCCCACTCCCAAAGCAATACCTATTAATCTACTCATGTTTTCGAGCTGCTAGGTTGGCAGAAGCTGGGGCTAACAGCGGGAGCTCACCCCACTCCCAAGGCAGTACCTATCAATCTGCTCATGTTTTCAAGCTGCTAGGTTGGCAGAAGCTGGGGCTACAGTGGGAGCTCACCACTTCCGCCTGAGTGCTGCTATTGATCTACTCATGTTTGCATGTTTTCAAGCTGCTAGGTTGGCAGAAGCTGGGGCTAACAGCGAGAGCTCACCCCACTCCCAAAGCAATACCTATTAATCTACTCATGTTTTCGAGCTGCTAGGTTGGCAGAAGCTGGGGCTAACAGCGGGAGCTCACCCCACTCCCAAAGCGATACTTATTAATCTACTCATGTTTTTGAGCTGCTAGGTTGGCGGAAGCTGGGGCTAACAGTGAGAGCTCACCCCACTCCCAAAGCGATACCTATTAATCTACTAATGTTTTCTAACTGCTAGATTGACAGAAGCTGGGGCTAACAGCGGGAGCTCACCCCACTCCCAAAGCAATACCTATTAATCTACTCATGTTTTCGAACTGCTAGGTAGGCAGAAGCTGGGGCTAACAGCGGGAGCTCACCCCACTCCCAAAGCAATACCTATTAATCTTCTCATGTTTTTGAGCTGCTAGGTTGGCAGAAGCTGGGGCTAACAGTGGGAGCTCACCCCACTCCCAAAGCAATACCTATTAATCTACTCATATTACATGTGGGAATCTCTAGATCAGGCATGGGCAAACTTGGGCCCTCCAGGTGTTTTGGACTACAACTCCCACAATTCCTAACAGCCTACCGGCTGTTAGGAATTGTGGGAGTTGTAGTCCAAAACACCTGGAGGGCCCAAGTTGGCCCAGGCCTGATCTGCAAGCAAGAGCAGCCTGGGAGTTCAGGCTATATCTGAGCGTCAAGTGGATTCTGGGAGTTGTAGTCCCTACCTGACGAGAAGAAGCCATTCACAGCAGCGCCATAACAACCCCGGTCCGGAAGTCCCGCCCACGGGACGGTACTCCCTCTCCCATTGGACGAGGAAAGGGTCAGTCACGCCACCTTGCCCAATCACAGCCGAACCGGCGTCTCTACCAATCAGGAAAAAACCCATTGCTATGGTGAGGCTCCTCTCCACTGCGGCTGCGCACTAGCGGCTTCTTAAAGCCTCCCACCTTCAAAGCGGGGGAAGTTGCGCATGCGCACAACACTCAAGCCTCCAGTGATGACCTCATCTAACTTTATCAAAGCAGCTTAACAATAAAAGCATTAGCATTTATTAATAATTAAAAACAATAATTATTAAAATAATGTAACTTATTATTTAAAATATATAATTTTAAAATAATATAACTATCAATATATATAATTTTAATATATATATATATTAAAATATATAATTTTAAAATAATATAGTATAACTATTAAAATAATATAATATAGTATAATAGTATAGTATATATTATATTATATCATTACTACTATATATTATTTTAATAATTACTATACTGTTGTATAATAATTAAAATAATGTATTATATATTTAATAATACAATATAATTATTATACTATAATTATATAATTATTACTATATATTATTTTAATAATTATACTATGTTGCATAATTATTAAAATAAATAATATAGCAATAATACAATATAATATAATTATTATACTATACTATTATAGTATAGTATAATTATATAATTATTACTATATATTATTTTAATAATTATTATGCTATGTTGTATAATAATTATTAAAATAATAAATTATATAGTAATAATACAATATAATTATACTATACTATTATGCTATATTATTTTAATAATTATATTATTTTAAAAAATTACTATAATAACGGAGAGGAAACAAACAAGGACATCTAATCACCTCTCAACAAAAGATTGCTCCAGGAACTGTCAGGTAATCAAATGCTAATCAAAGTGGTCAGATGAAACATTCCCACCTAGCTCCAGCAGACAAGAGTCCTTTGTCCCACCCTGGTCTTTCCACTGATTTCTAATGATTATTTTAAAAATAATTATAATATATTATTTTAATGGGTTGCTGTGAGTTTTCCAGGCTGTCTGGCCATGTTCCAGAAGCATTCTCTCCTGATATTTCACCCACATCTATGGCAGGCATCATCAGAGTTTGAGGATTCTGTTGGAAACTAGGTAAGTTGAAATGAAAATGAACAAAATCTGGCAACCGGAAAAGAAGGAGGAAAGAAGAAAGAAAGGTAGAGGAGGAAGGAAAGAGAGAAGGAAATAAAAAGTTAAAGAAGGAAGGAGAGAGGGATGGAATGAGACAAAGAACGAAAGAAGGAGGAAAAGAAGAAAGGAAACAGACAGCAAAGGAAGGGAGGAAAGAAACAGGTAGAGAGGAAGAAAGAAAGAAGGGAGAAAAAGAGGGAAGGAAGGAGAGGAGGGAGAGAAAGAAGGAGGAAAGGAGAGAAGAAAGAAAGGTAGAGAAGTAAGGAAGAAGGAAATAAAAAAGTGGAAGAAGGAAGGAAGGAGAGAGGGATGGAAGGAGAGAAGTAACGAAATAGGAAGGAAGGAAGGAAACAGACAAGGAAGGATGGAACCAGAGCGAAGGAAGGGAGGAAAGAAACAGATAGAGAAGGAAGAAAGAAGGAGGGGAAAGAGGGAAGGAAGGAGAGGAGAGAAGGAGGGGGAGAAAGAGGGAAAGGAGAGAAGAAAGAAAGGTAGAGAAGGAAGGAGAGAAGGAAATAAAAAAGTGAAAGAAGGAAGGAGAGAGGGAAGGAAGGAGAGAAGGAATGAAAGAAAGAGGGAAGGAAGAAAGGAAACAGACAAGGAAGGATGGAACAAAGAGCAAAGGAAGCGAGAAAGAACAGGTAGAAGGAAGAAAGAGGGAAAGAAAAGAGGAAGGAAGAGGGAGGGAAGGAAGTAAGGAAGAGGAGAAGGAGAGAGGAAAGAGGAAGGAAGGAAGAAGGAAACAAAGGAAGGATGGAACCAAAGAGTCAAGGAAGGGAGAAAAGACAGAGAAGGAAGAAAAGAAGAAGGGAAAGAAAAAGAGGGAAGGAAGAGAGAAGAAGGGAGAGAAAGAGGGAAAGAAGGAGGAAAGAGAGAAGGAAATAAAAAGTGAAGGAAGGAAAGAGAGGGAAGGAAGGAGAGAAGGAATGAAAGAGGAGGGAAGGAAGAAGAAAGAGACAAGGAAGGATGGAACCAAAGCAAAGGAAGAAGAAGGAAGAAAGAAGGGAAAGAAAAAGAGGGAAGGAAGGAAAGAAGGAGGGAAAGAGGAAAGAAGAAAGAAGGAAGAAGATAAGGAAATAAAAAAGTGAAAGAAGGAAGGAGAGAGGGATGGAAGGAGAGAAGGAACGAAAGAGGGAGGGAAGAAAGGAAACAGACAAGGAAGGATGGAACAAAAGAGCAAAGGAAGGGAGGAAAGAAACATGTAGAGAACGAAGAAAGAAGAAGGGAAAGAAAAAGAGGGAAGGAAAGAGGGAGGGAAGGAGAGAAGGAGGGAAGATTGGCCGCAGCAACACGTGGCAATACAGCTTATATCTATATGTATACATACATACAAACATACATACATATGCACATACATACATACACACACATACTCTCACTTCATCTGCCTGGTTTCCAACAGACTCCTCAACCTCTGAGGATACCTGCCATAGATGTGGGCGAAATATCAGGAGAGACTGCTTCTGGAACATGCCTAGGTAGTCCAGAAAACACACAACCACCCAGTGATTCCAGCCGTGAAAATGTTCCGGCAACACATTTTATTTTATCGCTGTCTGAAAAAACAATAGTCAGCCCAGGTGTGTAGAAAAAGCAAATCATTTTATTGGAACCGTGCCTTCCGGCGGCGCGAGGACGTGCCAACGTTTCGCGCGGCCCCGACCCGTCCCTTTTCATCCTTCTGCAACAAGAGCGAGGAGAACCCAGCGAGGAAGGGACGTTAGCGCGGAACCGACCAACGCCTCCGGACCAAGTGCCAATGTGGCAAACGGAGGGTTTATTTCTTTCCGCAAGGGACCCGACTTTTCCAAAAGGAGATTTCCAGGAAAACCAAGGAACGGACGAGGAAGGAAGAATGACCGCACAGCACAAGGACACACACGGCGGGAAAAGGCGCCGGACAAGAAAGCAAGGATTTCACATTCAGGCTCTTTCCTCTAAGGCGATGCATGGGCCAGCTTCGGCCCTCCGTCCAGGTGTTTTGGACTGCAACTCCCACAATTCCTAACAGCCTACCAGCTGTTAGGAATTGTGGGAGTTGCAGTCCAAAACACCTGGAGGGCCGAAGTTGGCCCATGCCTGCTCTCTGCTCACAGTAGGATGCACCTTCCGCGCGGACACAGTGGGGTTTCATTTTCAAAATTAGGAATTCCATTCGTATCCAAAAGGCAAGCGCAACTCCCCACAGGAAAACAAACCAAGACAAAACAGAGTGGAATGAAGGATAATGCACAACTTATACATTGTTTACATGTAACGTACGTCGCTCTAGGAGATCCTTGCAAAACTTTGCAAAACTTGCACATTTTTAAGAGACTGCCACAAAGTGAGGCGGGCGCCATATTCCAAAAAAGAGCTTCGTTTCTAGGGATGTTTCTGGGAAAAATGAGAGGTTTCGCCTCCTCCTTTTCTGTGCCGACGGACGTGCTCTCGCTTCTGAAAACCGAAGCGCCCAAAAAAGCATTCGAAACTATCCCCGTTTCTACGCTACGCAGTCTTCTTGGGAAGGCAATCCAATGCAAAACAAACACGGAAACACACGCGTTGGCACACTTTGCAACCTACTTTGAAAGATCAGTAGCACAACCACATGCCAACTGTAACAAACAAGGCCCAGGAAAGAGAAAACTATGAAGGTTGAATGAAAAGTAATGCTTCCACTTTCGTAACTCAACAATGGCAGTACTGGTATGCAGCATGTACTGGCTTGTTCAGTAGACTCTCCTCTGTAGTTCCATTTTGGCGGGAAGCCTTAGCATTGAACGGTTGTGTTGTTAAAGTGCGAAGTATGGAACCCTGCGCAGACAGTCGGTTAATGCGACTTAAGCAACATATGTGGCAGGTACTGGCTTGTTCAGTAGACTCTCCTCTGCAGTTCCATTTTGGCGGGGAACCTTAGCATTGAACGGTTGTGTTGCCAAAGTGCGAAGTATGGAACCCTGCGCAGACAGTCCAATTAGAAATATATTAAATATAATTGAACACAAGCAAAAAAAGAAACTGGCTCTCTTAAAATTGGACATACATAAGGCATTTGATTCAATAAATCATGAATTTTTATGGGAGGCTATGAAGAAATTTGGAGTAGGTGACCTATTTCTTAAAGAAACTAAAGAACTATACAGAAAAGGAACAGCTGCAGTCAGAATAAACGAAGGAACATCAGGGGAATTCCCAATCCAGAGGGGAGTAAGACAAGGCTGTCCCCTTATCACCATTGCTCTTTGTTTTAGGAATGGGGGTGTTAGCGGACAGAATAAGAAACAGTGCAAGGATTGAGGGGTGTAAATTTGGGCAGGGACTGGAGGCTAAATTAAATGTTTATGCGGATGATCTTATGATGGTATTATCCAATCCCCTAGAAGGAATAAGGGAACTAAAAATTCTACTAAGTGATTACGAGAGAAATACAGGATTGAGGGTCAATATAAAGAAATCAGAAATTATGTACTTCAAAGTAGATAAATCAGAAAAAGTGGAAATAGATAGAATAACTGAAATTGGCATGGGAAAAGGAAAAATAAAATAGTTGGGAATAACAATACAAAAAAAACATAGATAAGATGAAGAAGAGTAACTATAAAGAGGTGTGGAAAAAAGTTCTTAAGACAATGAAAAGATGGAAGGAAATTTTTTTTGTATATTTTTAGGAAAATAAAAGCAGCAAAAATGTTAATTCCAAAATTAATGTATTCATTTCAGGTTCTCCCACTAGAAACTAGACTTACTTCGCACTTTAACAACACAACCGTTCAATGCTATGGCTTCTCACCAAAATGGAACTGTAGAGGAGAGTCTACTGAACAAGCCAGTAGCTGCCGCATACCAGTACTGCCATCTGTTGAGGAGTTAACGAAGGTTGAAGCATTACTTTTCATTCAACCCTCGTATAAACCTAAGGAGCCAATACAACACATAAGGGAAAACATTCTGTATCTGGGCATGGAATTTGAAGAGGATCGCGAGCTCTATTTGGGCTTCTTCTTTGATGGTATCATCTGAGCGGGGATCAAACTTGGGCAAGTCATGCCAATGCTATTGAGCTGGAGCTGGGAAGCTTCATGGGAGCCTCACTCCCCTCTTCTCCCCATTCGGACACGGAGATATCCATCTCCTGGTTATGCATGGGTGGCGTCCATCTCACGTTTCTCTGGAAGGACTTGGCTTTCCTTCTTGAGCGTTGCGTACTGCTTTGAGGGACTCCCGTCCCAACGGTTTCAATTACAGAGAACCCTCAAAGGCCAGAAGATGGAGCAATGAGGTCGTATTCCAATCTGTTCCGTGTGCAGCGGGAGGTGAAGACAAAGCCCGGAGCATTGGGGCTGGGTGGCATTTGCCAGAAAGGTTTTGGGGTTCTGGGAGAGTGCCCTGAAGGCACAGCGTGAGCTTCCTCTCGGCCAAAAACCAGACGGAAACAAGGGAGGTGCAGAGACAGAGCGCACACCAACACCAACAGAAAGGACATTCCCAACGGGAGGGAGAGGGTTTTTTGGGCAGGGAGAAGAGTACGACTCTTGCTGCCAGTCTGTGCCATGAACCAGGTCTGTTTTCAAAACCACCAGGTGAACTGTAAATAAATAGGAGTTGATTGATGGGCGGTGGAGGGGGAAGGGCGGAGGAACTGTTATAACTCATCATTGGTTCTAGAATCTTCCCTTGGTTCAGACGTTTTGTCGATCTGTGGGCCTGGGAGAAAGAAAGAAGACGGGAAGAAAGACCAATGAACACATACACTAGAACTTTGCCAAATGCAAAATAAAGGCCTTTAAAGGAGAAACTCAGGGGGTGTGGTGTGGCATTGAGTCGCCTAAGGGCTGAGAAAAGCAGTATATAAATGAAGTAAATAAATAAATAAATAAATTCCTGTGTATTTCAAACTTTTCAAATGTATTATTATTATTATTTGTAATATTTATTTTATTTATTTATTTACAACACTTATATGCCGCCCTTCTCATCCCGAAGGGGACTCAGAGCAGCTTACAAGATATATAGATATAGATATAGATATAAATATATATATACACACACACATACAATATATATTAGCATAGTACAATATCAGTATTAATAATAATAATAAATAACACTTTATTTGTACCCCGCTACCATCTCCCCAAGGGACTCGGTGCAGCTTACATGAGGCCAAGCCCAAATACAACAATACAAACAGTATTACATATTACACTAGCTGTCCCCTGCCATGCATTACTATGGCCCATTCTGTGTATATGTGTTTTGTATATATATATGTGTGTAAGTGTGTATATATTAGTGTACATATGTGGTTCTGCACATGTGCTGTAATGTATTTTTGGGCTTTTTAAGCCTCTTCTGTTGTGTTTTTCAGTGTTTGTTTTAGTGAAGGACATACATTGGGTTGTTAGGTGTCTTGTGTCCAAATTTGGTGTCCATTCACCCAGTGGTTTTTGAGATATGTTAATCACACAAACGAACATTACATTTTTATTTATATAGATTAACAATATTTGTAATAGTGAAAGTGGCATCATCATAATAATTTCAATAATATTAATTATTATATTAGAATGATAATGATATTATAATAATTAGGCATGGTTCTAAATGGTTCTAAAGTACTTACAAAATCCCTCTCTATACAAGTTAATCCTTTCTATCTATATACTTCCCTCTTGTGGTTGCATCTGGGCACTGCATACACGCATCCCATATTATATATACTAGCTGTGCCCTGCCACGCGTTGCTGTGGCCTATAGTAAAACTTATCAAAGTTGAGGTAGATATCTGGACTATTATGAACCTATTCCTTCCCCCTTTTCCTCCCCCTTTCTCTCCTTTCTTCCTTCTCTACCTCTTTCTTTCTTTCTTTCTTTTCTTTCTTTCTTTCTTTCTTTCTTTCACTACTTGGTTTCATCCTTCTCTCTTTCCTTCATTCCCTCCCCCTTTCTTCCTTTGCCTTTCTTCCCTCCCTGTTTGCTTCCTTCTTTCTCTTTTTATTTCCTTTTATTTTTCACCACCATCATAACAATAACAATAATGCAATGCATTGCCTCTGGGACCTGACACCTCTCCCATTCCCCCTAAAAGGGTCTCAGAGGAACAATAGCAATAATAATAATAATAATAATAATAATAATAATAATAATAATAATAATAGAAATAACAACCTTTACCCGCCACGTGTTGCTGTGGCCAACCTTCCCTCTTTCTCTCCTTCTTTCCCTCCTTCCTTCCTTCCTTCCCTCCCCTCTTTCCTTCTCCTCTTCCTTCTCTATCTCTTTCCTTCCTTCCCCCTTTTTCTTTCTCTTCTTGTCTCTTTTCTTCCTTCCTTCTTTCCTTCCCTCCCTCTTTCTCTACATCTTTCCCCTTCCTTCACTCCCTCTTTCCTTCCTTCATTCCCTTTTTTCTTTCCTTCTCTCCTTCCTTCCTTCCTCCTTTTTCTTTCCCTCCCTCTGTCTCTCATTTCTTCCTTCTCTACCTCTTTCCTTCCTTCCCCCTTTTTCTTTCTCTTCTGCTGTCTCTCTTTTCTTTCCTTCCATCTTTCCTTTTCTTTCCTTTTCTTCTTCCTTCTTTCTCTAACTTTCCTTCCTTCCCCCTTTTTCTTTACCTCCCTTTCTCTTTCTTCCTTCTTTCCTTCCTTCCTGTCTTTCCTAGATTTTGACAGGGCGGGAAGGGGCGGGGTGGGGTTTGGAGGTGGCGTGAAGTAAAAGGAGGTAAGATTGGGGTGGGGGAGTGATGGAGGGTGGGGTTGTGTGTGTGTGTGCAGCGGCGGGGGGAGTGATGGAGCGTGGGGTTGCGTGTGTGTGTGCGGCGGTGGGGGGGGTTGCGTGTGTGTGTGTGCGGCGGGGGGAGTGATGGAGGGTGGGGTTGCGTGTGTGTGTGGCGGCGGCGGGGGGGATGGAGCGTGGGGTTGCGTGTGTGTGTGCGGCGGGAGTGATGGAGCGTGGCGTTTGTGTGTGCAGCGGCGGGGGGAGTGATGGAGCGTGGGGTTGCGTGTGTGTGTGCGGCGGGGGGGAGGGGGGTTGCGTGTGTGTGTGCGGCGGCGGGGGGAGTGATGGAGCGTGGGGTTGCGTGTGTGTGTGCGGCGGTGGGGGGAGTGATGGAGCGTGGGGTTGCGTGTGTGTGTGCGGCGGCGGGGGAGTGATGGAGCGTGGGGTTGCGTGTGTGTGTGCGGCGGCGGGGAGTGAGCCTTCGTGTGTGTGTGGGGGGGGGGGGGGAGTGATGGAGCGTGGGGTTGCGTGTGTGTGTGCGGCGGCGGGGGGAGTGATGGAGCGTGGGGTTGCGTGTGTGTGTGCGGCGGCGGGGGGAGGGGGGTTGCGTGTGTGTGTGCGGCGGCGGGGGGAGTGATGGAGCGTGGGGTTGCGTGTGTGTGTGCGGCGGCGGGGGGGGGGGGGGTGCGCGTGTGTGTGCGGCGGCGGGGGAGTGATGGAGTGTGGGGTTGTGTGTGTGTGTGCGGGAGGGGGTGTGTGTGTGCGGGAAGCGGGGCGGCGGGGCTTGGAGTGGGCATGGCTTCCGCAGAGGGAACGTTGGCCGGAAGGCCGTGTGTGCGCGCCAGGGAACTTGAGGCTGGGTGCCAATGCGCATGCTCAGTTGTTTTGCCGTTTTGTGAGTGTGTTGTTGTGTTGTTTTTCATTTTGAGTAGATATGTTTGTACCTTGTGGGTTGTGTTATGGGCATGGGAATTTTGGTTAAGTTTCGTTGGGGGTTTTGAGTTTTGTTGTTTTGCGTTTTGTGAGTGTGTTGTTGTGTTGTTTTTCATTTTGAGTAGATATGTTTGTACCTTGTGGGTTGTGTTATGGGCATGGGAATTTTGGTTATGTTTCGTTGGGGGGTTTCTGAGTTTTGTGGTTCCGTTGGATGTCCCTAACAAATTTATATATATAGATAATATTTATTATTTAAGGGAGGAATAATAATAATAATAATAATAATAATAATAATAATAATAATAATAATAACAACAATAATTAACCTTTATTTGTACCCCTCTACCATCTCCCGAAGGACTTGGTGTGGCTTACAAGAGGCCGAGCCCAAATACAACAGTAAAAACAACAACAATACAACAAAATAACTCAAAAAACAAGGCAATAACATTAACAACACACAATGACGCAATTAAAATCTATGGAAGTGGGAAGGGGAAAAATTGGATAAGGATAGAAATGTAAAGGATAGGAAAATAGGAGTCATCAGAATGTTATGGGAATAGATAGACAGACAGACAGACAGATAAAAACAAACAGGGTGAGCTGGGAATGCTCTCTGACCTGGTCCTGACTCCCCCTCCAGCTGCACCGGCTCCTCCGTGGGGGGTTCTTGGATTGGGCTGGCATCGTCTAATTGATCTGGAAGAGAAAAGGCCGCTTGTGGTTACAAACAATGTATTTATTTATTTATTTATTTACTATATTTGTACACCACCCTTCTCAGCCCTCAGGCAACTCAGTGCCTCTTTCTGCAATTAGAACTCACCGCATTCAACATGGGGTTTGATAGGAGAGATGCAATGGCCAAAGTGCAAGCCCTACCTCCAGCAAGACTAACGGACATAAACCTTTTGCACTAAGGGTCATGCAGGAACCCGCAGGAAGTCTCCCTGAAATAAACCTTTTGCACGAAGGATCATAGAATCCTAGAGTTGGGAGAGACCTCCTGGGCCATCATCCAGTCCAATCCCACTCTGCCAAGAAGCAGGAATATTGCATTCAAATCACCCCCAACAGATGGCCATCCAGACTCTGCTTCTAAAGAAGGAGCCTCCACCACACTCCGGGGCAGAGAGTTCCACGGCTGAACAGCTCTCACAGTCAGGAAGTTCTTCCTCGTGTTCAGATGGAATATCCTCTCTTGTAGTTTGAAGCCATTGTTCCATTGCGTCCTAGTCTCCAGGGAAGCAGAAAGGAAGCTTGCTCCCTCCTCCTCCCTGTGGCTTCCTCTCACATATTTATATATGGCTATCATATCTCCTCTCAGCCTTCTCTTCTTCAGGTTAAACATGCCCAGCTCCTTAAGCCGCTCCTCATAGGGCTTGTTCTCCAGACCCTGGATCATTTTAGTCACGTTCCTCTGGACACATTCCAGCTTGTCCTTGAAATAAACCTTTTGCACTAAGGATCATAGAATCCTAGAGTTGGGAGAGACCTGGTGTGCCGTCATCTAGTCCAACCCCATTCTGCCAAGAAGCAGGAAAATCGCATTCAATGCACCCCCAACAGATGGCCATCCAGCCTCTGCTTCAAAGCCTCTAAAGAAGGAGCCTCCACCAGGGCAGAGAGTTCCACTGCTGAACGGCTCTCACAGTCAGGAAGCTCTTCCTAATATTCAAATGGAATCTCCTTTCTTGTAATTTGAAGCCATTGTTCCCATAGGAAGCCTCCCAGACGTTTTCTGCAACTACACCTTCTCTCATCCCCAGGATAAGACTCCGTTTCTCTATCTATTGATCCCAGAAGCCTGCTCATTCCCCTTTCCATTTGCTGATTGAGCTGAGCAGTTCTCTGGGGTCAAGGCTGAAAGTGGAGCGGTCAGGGCAGTGCTAGCGTCTGGTGGCTTCCATGTCAAATGTCATTCAGAAACCCACAGGGAGACACTTTTTGACCAAGGCAATCCTCAGCACAGCCATTTTGGTTCCAAAGGCCCTCCAATCTAGCTCACCTTCTTGCTTCTCTTCCTTGGGAGGGACGACCTTTTCACCCTCGGACGGCCCAGTGGTGTTCTTCCCCGCCTCGGTCTTGGTGGCGTTCTCCTTCTTTGGCGCCTTGGGCTTGGCGAACTTGGCCTTGTTGAGCAGGTACTGGACCTCCCGATCCAGGGCTGCAATCTTCAGCTCAATGTCTTTGGAGAGGAGCGTGGGCTTGGCCGAGGGAGGCAGCTTGTTCTGCTCCGCCAGAGTGGCGTTCTTCCACAGCTGAAAGGGAGACAAAGGAACCAATTAGAGCGTCAGAGCCCTTTCCTCACTCCGGAGGGATGTCTCCAATCGAGTCGCCCGCGCCCCTTCCTTACCGTGGTCTCATTTATGGCCTTCTCCAAGGTGGTCAGCTCCACCTCTGTGAAGATTTGATCAACCTCCGGGATCATGCGCGCTCCTCTGCAAAACAAGAGGAAGACATGAGGCCTGGCTCTGCATCAGCTTCGCACCACTTGGCACGTGCAATTGGTGTGCAGGAGGCAAAGGCCGGCTTGGTTATTTAAAGAGCTAAGATGACTTTGAAGGATAACACTCTGCAACACAATTCCGGCTGTTAGGAATTGTGGGGAGGGTCGAAATTTCCCTATTTATTTATTTATGACATTTATATGCCGCCTTTCTCACCCTGAAGGGGACTCAGAACAGCTTACAAGATACACACACACACGCACAATATCAGTATGATACGTATTGTCGAAGGCTTATTACTATATTCTACTATACCATTATATTATAATATTATTAGTAATATTCCATGTAAGATAAAATATATAATTATAATATCATATTATTATTAATATTAAAATTATATTGTATTACATTTTAATATTATAAATATTATATTATATTATACTATATTATATGATTAGCACAGTATGCCTGCCCTGTTTGGCATCGCTCTGCCCATGCAAAGCAGGTGAACACAGCATTGAATGAAACATGCAGAATAATCACAGGATGTCTTAAACCTACACCTGTTGATAAACTCTACAAGCTAGCTGGCATTGCCCCCCACCCACCCCCGCCGATGTGTGACAGGAAGTTGCTACAAAATGTGAGAGAAATAAGGTTGAACACTGTGCAAGCCACCCACTGCAAGGCTACCAGCCTCCTCCCAGTAGACTCAAATCAAGGAAAAGCTTCATGAGATCCACCACTCCTCTTGGCGTCCCCCCAGCAACAGCAAGGGTCTCCCTCTGGGCAGCTAGATCAGGAAATACCCCCTCCCGCCCCCAGAAGGGAGAGTCTTCCTCCAGGGGCAAACCAAGAATGGGCAACTTAGAAGTGCCTGGACATACTAAGAACTGCTGTGGGCCGGTCAAGAGACAACCTGGCAAAATGACACGACCTAAAAGAATCCCCCACCTTGTGTGACTGTGGAGCAGAACAGACAACTCCGCATGTGTATGCTTGTCCACTATGTCCTGCCTCATGTACAGAGGAAGAACTGATGAAGGCTACAGACAATGCTGTTACTGTTGCCTGTTTTTAGTCAAAAGATATTTAGCCACCTGCACTACATGTATTTTTATCAGTTTTATACTAATTTATGCAATGCTTTTGATGCAAAATTAATAAATAAAGGTTGCTTACCTGTAACCGTATTTCTTCGAGTGTCAGTCCGTGAAATCCGCACCTATGGGT